ATTGTCATTACAAAAAGTACATTTTTGGCAGGCAATGATTATTTTGGCAAACAATTATTGTGATTCATCCTGTATTGTCCTTAACATTATTACTCCATGGCAACATATGTGGGATACATACAGTGGGGAGAACAAGTATTTGATACACTGCCGATTTTGCAGGTTTTCCTACTTACAAAGCATGTAGAGGTCTGTAATTTTTATCATAGGTACACTTCAACTGTGAGAGATGGAATCTAAAACAAAAATCCAGAAAATCACATTGTATGATTTTTAAGTAATTAATTTGCATTTTATTGCATGACATAAGTATTTGATACATCAGAAAAGCAGAACTTAATATTTGGTGCAGAAACCTTTGTTTGCAATTATAGAGATCATATGTTTCCTGTAGGTCTTGACCAGGTTTGCACACACTGCAGCAGGGATTTTGGCCCACTCACTCCTACAGACCTTCTCCAGATCCTTCAGGTTTTGGGGCTGTCGCTGGGCAATACGGACTTTCAGCTCCCTCCAAAGATTTTCTATTGGGTTCAGGTCTGGAGACTGGCTAGGCCACTCCAGGACCTTGAGATGCTTCTCACGGAGCCACTCCTTAGTTGCCCTGGCTGTGTGTTTCGGGTCGTTGTCATGCTGGAAGACCCAGCCACGACCCATCTTCAATGCTCTTACTGAGGGAAGGAGGTTGTTGGCCAAGATCTCGCGATACATGGCCCCATCCTCAATACGGTGCAGTCGTCCTGTCCCCTTTGCAGAAAAACATCCCCAAAGAATGATGTTTCCACCTCCATGCTTCACGGTTGGGATGGTGTTCTTGGGGTTGTACTCATCCTTCTTCTTCCTCCAAACACGGCGAGTGGAGTTTAGACCAAAAAGCTCTATTTTGTCTCATCAGACCACATGACCTTCTCCCATTCCTCCTCTGGATCATCCAGATGGTCATTGACAAACTTCAGACGGGCCTGGACATGCGCTGGCTTGAGCAGGGGGACCTTGCGTGCGCTGCAGGATTTTAATCCATGACGGCGTAGTGTGTTACTAATGGTTTTCTTTGTGACTGTGGACCCAGCTCTCTTCAGGTCAATGACCAGGTCCTGCCGTGTAGTTCTGGGCTGATCCCTCACCTTTCTCATGATCATTGATGCCCCACGAGGTGAGATCTTGCATGGAGCCCCAGACCGAGGGTGATTGACCGTCATCTTGAACTTCTTCCATTTTCTAATAATTGCGCCAACAGTTGTTTCCTTCTCACCAAGCTGCTTGCCAATTGTCCTGTAGCCCATCCCAGCCTTGTGCAGGTCTACAATTGTATCCCTGATGTCCTTACACAGCTCTCTGGTCTTGGCCATTGTGGAGAGGTTGGAGTCTGTTTGATTGTGTGTGTGGACAGGTGTCTTTTATACAGGTAACGAGTTCAAACAGGTGCAGTTAATACAGGTAATGAGTGGAGAACAGGAGGGCTTCTTAAAGAAAAACTAACAGGCCTGTGAGAGCCGGAATTCTTACTGGTTGGTAGGTGATCAAATACTTATGTCATGCAATAAAATGCAAATTAATTACTTAAAAATCATACAATGTGATTTTCTGGATTTTAGATTCCGTCTCTCACAGTTGAAGTGTACCTATGATAAATATTACAGACCTCTACATGCTTTGTAAGTAGGAAAACCTGCAAAATCGGCAGTGTATCAAATACTTGTTCTCCCCACTGTACATATACACACACGCACACACGCACGCACGCACACACACACACACACACACACACACACACACACACACACACACACACACACACACACACACACACACACACACACACACACACACACACACACACACACACACACACACACACTTATACACACTCCCCACCCTTCCCCCACAAACAACCACAAGCTCAGATGTTCAACAGTTGGATATGCAGCACACCGCTGGAAAGCTAACAAACGTCGGCATCGATAGAAACTAGTCCCATTCTATGACCCCCAATTTTTTTTAATCGAATTTAATCACAAATAATTTGGAGACGTGAAACAAACCTGCTTTGTGTTAATCACAGATGGACAACATTGTAGGGGAGGTAGACAAGAATGAAAAATTATACTACCTTTCTCTACCTCTAATTATATTATTTAACATTTTTTGTCATTTAGCAGACGCTCTTATCCAGAGCGACTTACAGGAGCAATTAGGATTAAGTGCCTTGCTCAAGGGAACATCGACAGATTTTTCAGCTAGTTGGCTCGGGGATTAGAACCAGCGACCTTTCGGTTACTGGCACAACGCTCTTAACCACTAAGCTACCTGCTGCCATATATTATATATTGTTTCAGAAATAAGGCAGCTGAAAACATATAGGATGCCATTTCTAAAGTTGATTGTGAATATACAACATACACTACCGTTCAAAAGTTTGGGGTCACTTAGAAATGTCCTTGTTTTCGAAAGAAAATCATTTTTTAATTAAATTAAAGCCATATCTCAGACTGGCCAATAAAAATAAAAGATTAAGATGGGCAGTCTGAGATATGGCTTTTTCTTTGCAACTCTGCCTAGAAGTTCAGCATCCTGGAGTCACCTCTTCACTGTTGACGTTGAGATTGGTGTTTTGCGGGTACTATTTAATGAAGCTGCCAGTTGAGGACCTGTGAGGCGTCTGTTTCTCAAACTAGACACTCTAATGTATTGTCCTCTTGCTCAGTTTGCACCGAGGCCTCCCACTCCTCTTTCTATTCTGGTTAGAGCCAGTTTGCACTGTTCTGTGAAGGGAGTAGTACACAGCGTTGTACGAGATCTTCATTTTCTTGGTAATTTCTCGCATGGAATAGCCTTCATTTCTCAAAACAAGAATAGTCTGACGAGTTTCAGAAGAAAGTTATTTGTTTCTGGCCATTTTGAGCCTGTAATCGAACCCACAATTGCTGATCCTCCAGATACTCAGCTAGTCTCAAGAAGGTCAGTTTTATTGTTTCTTTAATCAGCACAACAGTTTTCAGCTGTGCTAACATAATTGCAAAATTGTTTTCTAATGATCAATTAGCGTTTTTAAATGATAAACTTGGATTAGCAAACACAACGTGCCATTGGAACACAGGACTGATGGTTGCTGATAATGGGCCTCTGTACGCCCATGTAGATATTCCATAAAAAAATCAGCTGTTTCCAGCTACAATAGCCATTTACAACATTAACAATGTCTACACTGTATTTCTGATCAATTTGATGTTATTTTCATGGACAAAAAAATTGCTTTTGTTTCGAAAACAAGGACATTTCTAAGTGACCTCAAACCTTTGAACGGTAGTGTATATACAGAAATATGTGGACACCCCTTCAAATTAATGGATTCGGCTATTTCAGCCACACCCGTTGCTGACAGGTTTATAAAATCGAGCACACAGCCATGCAATTTCCATAAACAAATATCGGCAATAGAATGGCCTTACTGAAGAGCTCAGTGACTTTCAACGTGGCTTCGTCATAGGATGCCACCTTTCCAACAATTCGCTAGAGGTGCCCGGGTCAACTGTAAGTACTGTTATTGTGAAGTGGAAATGTCTAGGAGCAACAACAGCTTAGCTGCGAAGTGGTAGGCCACACAAGCTCACGGAACGGGACCACCGAGTGCTGAAGCACGTAGTGTGTAAAAATCGTCTGTTCTTGGTTGCAACACTCACTACAGAGTTCCGAACTGCCTCTGGAAGCAACGTCAGCACAAGAACTGTTCATCAGGAGCGTCAAGAAATGGGTTTCCATGGCCGAGCAGCTGCACACAAGCCTAAGATCACCATGCGCAATGCCAAGCGTCGGCTGGAGTGATGTAAAGATCGCCGCCATTGGACTCTGGAGCAGTGGAAACACGTTCTCTGGAGTGATGAATCACGCTTCACCATCTGGCAGTCCGATGGACGAATCTGGGTTTGGCAGATGACAGGATTACGCTACCTGCCCCAATGCGTAGTGCCAACTGTAATGTTTGCTGGAGGAGCAATAATGTTCTGGGGCTGTTTTTCATGGTTTGGGCTAAGCCCCTTAGTTCCAGGGAAAGGAAATCTTAACGCTACAGCATACAATGACTTTCTAGATGATTCTGTGCTTCCAACTTTGTGGCAACAGTTTGGGGAAGGCCCTTTCCTGTTTCAGCATGACAATGTCCCATTGCACAAAGCGAGGTCCATACAGAAATGGTTAGGTGAGATCGGTGTGGAAGAACTTCACTGGCCTGCACAGAGCCCTGACCTCAACCCCATCGAACACCTTTTGGATTAATTGGTACGCCAACTGCGTGCCAGGCCTAATAGCCCAACATCAATGCCGACCTCACTAATGGTCTTGTGGCTGAATGGAAACAAATCCCTGCAGCAATGTTCCAACATCTAGTGGACATTTTTCCCAGAAGAGTGGAAGCTGTTATAGCAGCAAAGGGGGGACCAACTCCATATTAATGTCCATGATTTTTGAATGAGATGTTCGAAGAGCAGGTGTCCACATACTTTTGGTCATGTAGAGTATTTAGATGATTTAGAAAGTATTTAAGGCCCTATTCAGCCTTCCTTCATGAATAGGCTGTTCATATCCTCTGAAATCATCATATTTTCATACTTTATCATATTTTTACTATTTGCTAGAAAAGTAGTGAAAAGTGAATACATCTCATAAATAAATTCACCTAAAATGTGAAAATCAGATCAGAGCTAGGTATTGTTCATGGCCCTCTCTAGGAAATGATCTTATCCGGGCATAGCCAAACAGGTTTGAACCTTTATTCTGAACAGGTTAAAATCACATGATGCGGACCAAGTATTTACGACATCATCCGGAAACACTTTTGACATCATCTGGTCTGTTTTTTTATATTACAAAACATAGAAAGCAGTCATTTTCATGTGTTGATGTTGGGGTGGTGCTAGGGATTCTGAATATGAAGTAGAAAAATTGGGAAATTTCTATTTAATTAAAGTGGGAATAAAATAAGGCTGTTGTTTTTCTCCTTAGAACCCCCTGTGACCATTATAGGCAACTCGGGTAACCCAGAACATCATAGCCTGGTAGCAGGCGACAAACTCATCTTGGAGTGCGAGATATCTTGTCCGAATGCCACTGTCCAGTGGCTCTGGAACGGAAAGTTACTGAGTTCAGACTCCCGCACTCACATAGACAGTGATGGTGCCATCAGGAAACTTGTTTTGTCAGGGCTTCAGCCCTCGGACTCTGGAGAGTACATATTGGATGCCATCGATGACAAAATGGTAACCATAGTTGAGGTCCAAGGTAAAATTGTTTACATTTCAATGCATGTAATATATTACAAAAAGGTACCTATGTTATTGACATGACATAAACATAAAAGTCACAAGAGGCCATGTTCAAATTATGTTTTACTCCTCAGAGCCCCCAGTCAAGTTTGTGAACAAACAAGCAAGAACCACCATCTCTGGCTACGAAAATGAAAGTGTGACACTGTGTGCCATGGTGAGCCGGGAGCAAGCCTATGTGCGATGGCGTAAAGATGGTGGACTATTGAATGGGGATAATATTTACATCTCCAGTGAGGGTAACATGCACACCCTCACCATCAACCCCCTGAAACTATCAGATAGTGGAGGGTTTGTCTGTGACGTCAACACGGATGAAATTTCTTTCATTGTCCAGGTTAAAGGTAAGAGCAGGATTATTTTGGACAAACTGCTTAAGAATAAGGTTTAACATAGTTAAACACAGTATTGATTAAGTAAACTTGTTTTCCTAGAAATGAAAGTGAAATTCTCTAGACCCCTGGAGAATATCGTAGCCCTGAAGAACAGTACCCTCACCCTGAGGTGTGAGGTCAACAAACCTAAAGGAGATGTTCAGTGGCTCAAAGATGGCCAGGACATTAAGCCCAGCCGTCGACATACGATAAGGGCACAGGGTCGGGAGCGAAGCTTCACCATCCTCCAGCTAACGCTAGACGATGCTGGGGAATATGCCTGTGAATCCACAGACGATAGGACTTTTGCCACTGTCGGTGTAGAAAGTAAGGATATGGGCAGTTATGTTTATGCTAACATTTGAAATAACAAAATTAACATTATCGGGTGGTAATCTTATCAATCAAACTTTTTTTTCAATGTCAGTGTAAGTCTAATGCCGTGCTCACGTGCTAGCGTAAATATCAGAAGCTCCTAGTTCCCAGTCGGAAATTTCACTTGAATGACCCTCGAAGTCGGAATTACAAGTGGGAAACTCTGACAAAATGCTGTTACCCAACGTTTCACCACTGACCTTTTTTTACCTATTCAACCAAAAGATGACAATAAATAAATTTTTGACAATTACAACCTTATCAACATGGATACTGTAGCTAGTCTGAACACATTGTAAATGTTAAGCAAGCTAGCTAACTTTATTATAAGCAATGTTAGCAAGCTTATCAAGCTAGCTAAAATGTTATTGGTTGAAGAATTATTGCGACTCCAAAAGCACTTGAACACAATCATGTCAGACTTACCAATTCCCAATTTCCTATTTCCCACGAGCACGTGAAACCAGCATGACTCACGTTATGTAAAAGGTCCAGTACAGTTAAAAAGCGTGATTTTCCTGTGTTTTATATATATACAGTGCCTTCGGAAAGTATTCAGACCCCTTGATTTTTTCCACATTTGGTTATGCCTTATTCTAAAATTGATTAAATAAATAGAAATCCTCAGCAATCTACACACAATATCCCATAATGACAAAGCAAAAACAGGTTTTTAGAAAAAATCTCACATTTCTTAAAATAAAAAAAACTGAAATACCTTATTTACATAAGCATGCAGACCCTTTGCTATGAGACTCGAAATTGAGCTCAGGTGCATCCTGTTTCCATTGATCATCCTTGAGATGTTTCTACTACTTGATAGGAGTCCACCTCTGGTAAATTCAATTGATTGGACATGAAAAAGGCACACACTTGTCTATATAAGATCCCACAGTTGACAGTGCATGTCAGAGCAAAAACCAAGCCATGAGGTCGAAGGAATTTTCCGTAGAGCTCCGAGACATGATTGTGTCGAGGCACAGATCTGGGGAAGGGTACCAAAAAATGTCTGCAGCATTTTAGGTCCCCAAGAACACAGTGGCCTCCATCATTCTTAAATGGAAGAAGTTTGGAACCACCAAGACTCTTCATAGAGCTGGCCGCCCAGCCAAACTGAGCAATCGGGGGAGAAGGACCTTGCTCAGGGAGGTGACCAAGAACCTGATGGTCACTCTGACAGAGCTCCAAATTTCCTCTGTAGAGATAGGAGAATCTTCCAGAAGTTCAACCATCTCTGCTGCACTCCACCAATCAGTCATTTATGGTAGAGTGGCCAGACGGAAGCCACTCTTCAGTAAAAGGCAAATGATAGGCCGTTTTGAGTTGACTCTCAGACTATGAGAAACAAGATTCTCTGGTCTGATGAAACCAAGATTGAACTCTTTGGCCTGAATGCCAATCATCATGTCTGGATGAAACCTGGCACCATCCCTATGGTGAAGCATGGCAGTGGAAGCATCATGCTGTGCGGGTGTTTTTTAGCGGCAGGGACTGGGAGACTAGTCAGGATCGAGGCAAAGATTAAAAGAGCAAAGTACAGAGAGATCCTTGATGAAACCCTGCTCCAGAGCGCTCAGGACCTCAGACTGTGGTGAAGGTCCGGACTTGAACCCGATCGAACATCTCTGGAGAGACCTGAAAATAGCTGTGAAGCAACGCTCCCCATCCAACCTGACAGAGCTGGAGAGGAATGGGAGAAACACCCCAAATACAGGTGTGCCAAGCTTGTAGCGTCATACCAAAGAAGACTTGAGGTTGTAATTGCTGCCAAACCTGTTTTTGCTTTGTCATTATGGGCTATTGTGTGTAGATTGATGAGAAAAAACAATGTAATCAATTTTAGAATAAGGCTGTAACCTAACAAAATGTGGAAAAAGTCAAGGGGTCTGAATACTTTCCAAAGGCCCTGTACATATACAGTACCAGTCAAAAGTTTGGACACAACGACTCATTCAAGGGTTTTCTTTATGTTTACTATTTTCTACATTGTAGTAACCAAAAAAGTATTAAACAAATCAAAATATATTTTACATGTTAGATTTTTCAAAATAGGCACCCTTTGCCTTGATGACAGCTTTGCACACTCTTGGCATTCTCTCAACCAGCTTCATGAGGTAGTCACCTGGAATGCATTTCAATTAACACGTGTGCCTTGTTAAAAGTTAATTTGTGGAATTTATTTCCTTCTTAATGTGTTTGAGCCAATCAGTTGTGTTGTGACAAGGTAGGGGTGGTATACAGAAGATAGTCCTATTTGGTAAAAGACCAAGTCCATATTCCATATATTATGGCAAGAACAGCTCAAATAAGCAAAGAGAAATGACAGTCCATCATTACTTTAAGACGTGAAGGTCAGTCAATCCGGAAAATGTCAAGAACTTTGAAAGTTTCTTCAAGTGCAGTCACAAAAACCATCAAGCGCTATGATGAAACTGGCTCTCATGAGGACCGCCACAGGAAAGGAAGACCCAGAGTTACCTCTGCTGCAGAGGATAAGTTCATTAGAGTTAACTGCACCTCAGATTGCAGCCCAAATAAATGGTTCACAGAGTTCAAGTAACAGACACATCGGAACATCAACTGTTCAGAGGAGACTGCGTGAATCAGGCCTTCATGGTCAAATTGCTGCAAAGAAACCACTACTAAAGGACACCAATAATAATAAGTGACTTGCTTGGCCCAAGAAACACGAGCAATGGACATTAGACCGGTGGAAATCTGTCCTTTGGTCTGATGAGTCCAAATTTAGATATTTGGTTTCAACCGCTGTGTCTTTGTGAGACGCAGAGTAGGTGAACGGATTATCTCCGCATGTGTGGTTCCCACCGTGAAGCATGGACGAAGAGGTGTGATGGTTTTGGGGTGCTTTGCTGGTGACACTGTCAGTGATTTATTTAGAATTCAAGGCACACTTAACCAGCATGGCTACCACAGCATTCTGCAGTGATACGCCATCCTATCTGGTTTGCACTTAGTGGGACTATCATTTGTTTTTCAACAGGACAATGACCCAAAACACACCTCCAGGCTGTGTAAGGGCTATTTGACCAATAAGGAGAATCATGGTGCTGCACAATCACCTGACCTCAACCCAATTGAGATGGTTTGGGATGAGTTGTACCGCAGAGTGAAGATAAAGCAGCCAACAAGTGCTCAGCATATGTGGGAACTCCTTCAAGACTGTTGGAAAAGGATTCCAGGTGAAGCTGGTTGAGAGAATGCCAAGAGTGTGCAAAGCTGTCATCAAGGAAAAGGGTGGCTACCTTGAAGAATGTAAAATCTAAAATATATTTTGATTTGTTTAACACTTTTTTGGTTACTACAATATTCCATATGTGTTATTTCATAGTTTTGATGTCTTCACTATTATTCTACAATGTATCATTGACCTCTCAATGCATGATTCACACAAAAGTTGTGTAAGTTAAGCGCATGGATCTCAAGTTAGGATTTGGACCAATGATACCAATGTCTCAATAATATTCATTGCAAATCAACCCTGTGTGTTATTATTCTAACAAATGTTCATGTTCTATCCCTTAGTGCCTCCACCTATTGTTGAGTTTATCACAGAGCTACACAATATCACTCTACTGGAGGGGGAAAATGCTACATTTAAGTGTGTCGTTTCACCAGAGGAAACACAGCTAGTGTGGAGCCTGAACGGCCGGCCTATAGCTCCAAATGAGAGGTTTGTCATTTCAAGTAATGGACTGTGCCACATGCTGTGCATTTACAACTGCCAGGTCTCAGACTGCGCCACAGTGACTGCCGAGGCAAAAGGGCTGGTGTCTGAGGCAAACCTCCAGGTTCAAGGTGAGATACCATTGGTAAACATTGTGCTAGTTTGGTACTCAATATATTCTGGTCCAGTTTTAAATGTGCTATATGCAACAATTCCGCCTACAAACAGACCTAAATGGCAACAATATATTTGTAGTAGTAAAGAAAAGAAAAAATCCCATGGGTTAAAAATCTAATTTTAGAATGGCATTTGAAGCTAGCACAGTTGTTTGTTTTTCCGGGAATGTCCACATTCAAACAGCAGCATCTTCCTGATTGTCGTTCTTGGAGGTTGAAAACAATGGATGTGTTATTTAAATTATGATGAGATAAGAAAGTATTGCTAAGCTATTTCAGGTTTTTCTAAGCTAAACAGGATATAAATATCATACAACAAACAGAGCACCTTAAATTGATAAGTAGCCCCATGACTGTGCTCTTATGATTGTATAGTTACAGTGTGACAAGATGTTATTTTCCCTGATTAATTAGGAAATATTTACCCCCAAACCTTTTATTAATTGTATTCATTTCCCTTGATTTTCATAGTTGCGCTGTTGACACCCTTGAACAACAGTGTATGTCAATGTAGCACTTACAATATAGCTGCCTATTATATAATATAGTAGTAGTAGTAGTAGAGACATTTAATTGTAATCTTCATTTCACATTTGCAATCACTTTATACAACTGTTGATTCCTTGAAGTTTAGGAGATCATTTTGAAGTAAGCTTTGGCTAAAATGACTTTCATATTCATGCCCTCCCCTTTAAATGTCTTCATAACTATTGGGGGAATGAGTGCAACAGTGTACTCTTCGAAAGCCTCTTTAATGCCACAACATATTTTCGATAAATAATGACCTCTTCAGACAAGCTCAAATTGTTGAAGGGGCGCCTTTGACGGCTTGCGCTTAGCAGCTTCTCCATTTAGAATTCCTGGGGTAACTGACAGAGACAAATGGTGCCCGAGACATGCTACATCACTTTTACGAGGATATCATAGCCTCTCTTTAGTAGAACTTGTGCTACATTGTTGTTTGTTTATCATAGCATTTTATTGGTATTTTTATATAGTTATAATGTAGCTTACAAAGCTTTATTTTTTCACTTTGTGTATGTCACTCTGGATATGTAGTTGAATGTCAATTAGAGTTCAAATCGAATACTTGTGTGATCCCTGTTGCTTTACACACTCACATTAATATGTGTTCAGAACAACAGGTGTTGTTCACCAAAAACATGGTGCCCGTTGTGGCTGAGCAATTCGGGGAGGCTACCCTGGAGGTGGAGGTGAGCCTGGACTCTGGAGAGGTGCAATGGATGAGGCAGGGTGTAGTCATCCACCCGGGGCCAAAGTTCACCCTGAAGCAAAAGAGCCGGCGACGGAGCCTCACCATTCACAAGCTCGCCCTTTCTGACCGGGGCACCTACAGTTGCGAAACTCTCCACGACCGCACGCAAGCCCAGCTCATCGTGGAACGTGAGTGCTCAAGTGTTGTCACTATGTGCTGTTGTTGTTTGTTTACCTCCGTTGCCGGCAACAACGCTTTCACACGCTGTCCCTGTTGTTGCCGTTGTTGCTTTTGGAGCAAACTCAATAACTGAGTAAGAGTAATTTGAGTGGTGATGGCTGCAAACAGGTGACCTACAGACAGACCGCTAGCCCACCCTCTGGTTCTCAGGGAGCAGATTTCTGTATTGACACAGGATCACTGGAGCCATGATGATTTCATTAAGCGTGTCAAAGGGGAATCAGATTGGAGGCTAGAAGGAAGTACTAGTGAGGAACTATTTAAGCCCCTTTTGCTTGGCTGTGAAGATATAGATGTTATCAGACAAGCGCTAGGATTACATTCACACAAGCACAGCTCTCTGAGAGCATTCCCTTCGCTTACTATTGCAGAGTCGAGCTGTGATTAATGGCTGCTTTAACCACAAAGGGTCTAATAGTTAAGATGTACTGTAGCTCTGTGTACTTAACTACTTTTCTTCTGACTTGTTTTGTGGGTGAGTTAGTGCTGTGAGGTGCGGGTGAGTTAGTGCTGTGAGGTGCGGGTGAGTTAGAGCTTGTGCTTTCAGCAACAGCGTGGGTGAGAAGGGGAAAGTCTGGACTTTGGCTGCTGTTGGCACCTCTTATGTATTTGGATCTCCTCTCATTGCATCTAAATTTATGCACTGGCCTTCAAAATCGAGTTTGTTGTCATCAAGTCTAAAAAATAAATGCCTCTTCTCCATGGGGAATGCCTGTCTGTGTTAGAATAAGTAAAAATGTTGGCGGATTCAAAACAGGCTTTGGTGTAAGGTACTGTGTTGGAATGATAAAAATACTTGCCTATTTTCTGCCAACTGGCTACATGTTTTATTGGTCTGTCTGTATCACACATACTGTAACATGACTTCTGTTATAGGGACATTCTATATGAAAATGGAAGAAACATGAAAAAAATGTGCTAAGAAATAGCCTTTGGAAGAAGGATTTGGTATTTGTAGTATTTGCAGTGGGATCTCAAGGACCTTTGGAATTATCATATTACATGGAACGCCTCTAGAGATGAAACAACAGATGATTTAATAAAACAATTCTATAAGGGAAGTTAAAACCATATATTTAACTCATTTTATATCTCGACGTCCCCTTTTTGCCTAGTTCCCTCTAGGTTTCTTCCTTGTAGAGTTATTCCTAGCCAATGTGCCACTGCTTCTGCTTCTGCTTGCTCTTTGAGGTCTAGGCCGGGCTACAGTAAAAGCACTTTGTGACAACTGCTGATATAAAAATGGCATCATACACATGATTTCTTTGTTTGTCCCTGTCATCATGCAACATGTAAATCTGTTGATTTAATTATAGATCAGGGATAGGCAACCCTGTTCCTGGAGTGCCGCAGATACTGTGTGGTGAGTGATTTTGATGGAGTCAGGCGCAGGAGGGTAAATCACAGAATAAACCGAAAATACAGCGGTACGCAGCAATGCGTCAAACACTCCAGTGCGGAAATCAGGCGCACTGGGAAACAACAAGGCACACGGGTGAAATATCCCGGCGATACAAAATACAAGGAGCTCCTCCGAGCTCATCTAACCTCCACAATAAACAATCACACACAAAGACAAGGGGGCAGAGGGAACACTTATACAGGTACTGATGAGGGGATATGAACCAGGTGTGTGTAATAAACAAGACAAAACAAATGGAATGATGAGATGAGGAGCGGCAGTGGCTAGAAGGCCGGTGATGACGAACACCGAATCCTGCCCGAACAAGGAGAGGAGGCAGCTTCGGAGGAAGTCGTGACATACAGCAGGATTTTATTCCAACTAGCACCACATCTGACCAACTGAGCTAATTGATCAGTTCAGTGAGTGCCTGAGGCACTCCAGGACCAGGGTTGCCTACCCCTGTTATAGATGATTTACATTATTTATATGATTAACTTACTAATTAAGTGATTATTGTTGTTGTTATTATTGCCTTTAGCTACAATTCCATTTTCTCCCCACAGCCAGAAAAATCACAATTCGGAGAGGACTCACTGACATCCAAACCATTCAGCGTGAAACTGCATCCTTCGAGGTGGAGCTGTCTCACAGCAACGTAGAAGCCACTTGGCTAAAGGATGGGAACCAGCTAAAGCCAAACAACCACTGGCGCATGAGTGCCAAAGGGTGTGTCCACAGCCTCACTATCTCCAACCTCACCTTGGACGACACAGGCACCTTTGTGTTATCTGCGGAAAATGTGAAAACATCTGCCAGGCTCGTTGTTAAAGGTAGGGCACGGACACAGATGGTCAGAAAGCAACAGTACACTAGTTTTCTGTCAGAGTGGGCAGCCTGGCCACATTGTATACACAAACAGCAGCGTCTTTCTGATTCAATATTGGTTCTCAAAATAACAATATTTTATGTCATTATACTTTTTCTACATCAAATACAATTATTTATATAGTGGTTTTTCAAGCCAAAAGCAGGGAGTGTGAGGGAGTGTAGGAAATACAGAATGAGAATATATATTTGACACCTCAGCTTTTGATGCCGAGGTGTCATATACAATTAATGGAAAGCCTGGTTTCTCGTGTTATCTACTCCACTAGGGTCTGTCAGCCAGGGGCTGTACGGCTTAATGACAAGTTTGTTTTTGTCAATGTTTAAAATGTCAGAATAACCGACTGCATGATAATGAAATGGAGTGACTGCTCTGCTACCGTTCTTACTCCGTCTCACGTTACAAATACAAAATAGCCACATACTGTACATCGCAAGTAGGCTACTTGGTCTTTTCAGTCACTCCCTAACATAACCTCACACTGTAAAGTAATCTCTCCCCTATACAGAGTCACTCAATACGTCTCACCCTTTGAGCCAGGGTTCTGAAATCGAGGATGACAATTGGATGAAAATGTCATCCCAGTAAATAGTTCAGTTGCCATACCAAACATCTCTTAACACTAAAATACAGGCTATTGTACCGATGCCGTCGTGGTGCAGTGCGTGTGTAAGTATATTGCTCCCAGATTTGTGTCAGGCATTCAGTTTGGCTTGTGAAGTGTCAACAGAGGACATTGTAGTTGAGATTTTAAGTCAAATGATTCATACCAGTAAAACAGCACTGAATGAATCAGCTTGGATCTCAAACAAAAAAGTTACAATTTAAAAGTTTGAGGAAATACTTTCAGTATGAGAGTAACAAAATCAAAGTGATATTAAAGTAACTGTCCAGTGAAAATCTCCCTATTAAAAGTTAATATTCTGTTAACTCATACCAGTGTTGTATACACTCCTTTCTTGAAACATGAATACCTTAACAGCCTTATCTATTATAGACATGTTTGCACAGTGGCGAACCTATAGGCCTTCAGTGTGTGACAGGTTCGTGATTCTGAAAGGACTGCAACCATAATTCCAGCACACTCATGTAGAAGAGTGCCCTTTTTGTAAAACACAAAGGGCCACCTCTACGAAAAATAATTGAGTTGCACCCCCTTTTGACCCTCAGAACAACCTCAATTCGTCAGTGCATGGACTCTGCAAGGTGTCGAAAGCGTTCCACAGGGATGCTGTCCCATGTTGACTCCAATGCTTCCCACAGTTGTGCCAAGTTGGCTGGATGTCCTTTGGGTGGTGGATCATTCTTGATACACACGGGAAACTGTTGATCGTGAAAAACCCAGCAGCGTTGCAGTTCTTGACACACTCAAACTGGTGCGCCTGGCACCTACTACCATACCCCGTTCAAAGGCACTTAAATCTTTTGTCTTGCCCATTCACCCTCTGAATGGCACACATACACAATCCATGTCTCAATTGTCTTAAGGCTTAAACATCCTGCCCTTCATCTACACTGATTGAAGTGGATTTAACAGGTGACATCAATAAGGGATCATCGCTTTCACCTGGATTCACCTGGTCAGCATATGTCATGGAAAGAGCAAGTGTTCCTAATGTACATCCGACACTGCAAAAATAAAGTAAACAGGATAGATCTCACTGGATTACAGTAGCGGCCATTTCCATGTAAAAGGACCCATGAGCACCAACATCTGAAGTTTATAGAGCATATCACATTTGGTGTCAAATGAAAGCTAAGAGTCTATACTATTGGGAAATGAAGGCATACAGTATATATGTTTTTCAACCATTTTCCATCCTAAAAATAAGGAATAAGCAAAGGCTTTGATTTTTGGCCACACAGATGGAAAAGGGGTCTTAAAAAACATCTACTAGAAAAAGTCTTAAAAGGCATTACAAATACATCAAAACAATAATGTTGAAGGCCCCTGCCAACTAATATCAACATTTATATTTAGTTTTGCAGGAATTATTTGCCTTCTGTAAGTTTTAGAAATATTTCCTAGTGTCTTGTCATTCTGTTCCCAAAAACCCACATATCTTTAAGACATTTTCTTATTTATCTCCCTTATGAGTAGTGAGAATTATGAAAATTCACAGAAGTGACAACTAAAGGTAGACCTACCAATTAGTATATATAGTTTACTGATAACAACTTTGTTTATCAAGTATGAAGTGATTAAAATGTTTCACTGTGTTACGAAATTCAGTAACAGAGCTGGTAACAGAGTGACCGAAAAATCTGTAACAGAGTGACTGCAATTGAATTGGCCACAATGTATAATTATAGTAGTCACAAACCACAGTTGCAGTAGAGCACAGTACAGCACAGTATAGTAGAACACAGTAAAGTACAGTACAGTACAGCACAGTAGCATACAGTACAGTAAAGAAAAGTAGAGTAGAGTAGAGTATATTTACAGTAGAGCACACATAATGTAATACACTCTACTGAACTCTACTTTTCTTTACTGTATGTACTCTACTGTGTGCTGCTGTACTGTACTGTATTATACTGCTCTACTGTACTGTACTGAACTCTACTCTACTCTACTGTGCTGTGATGTCCAAACTTGTGATTGGTGAGGTGTCAGCTATGACATGACACCTTGAGTTTGGTTATCGAACTACAGTAAGTGAGGTGGATCAACACCTGGCAACAGAATGATTGGTACAGATTTGTTCCGGTCTGGACCAACCAAATTTGGTCTTGTTTGGCAGCCGAGCTCATTAGAATAATAGCCAGTGTATAGAATAATACCCAAACATGCAAAGGAGGATATTACAATTTTCTACCTTTGTGTACCGATTCAGGATACATCACCATGAAGATAATTACATTTATAATTCTGCATTTATGTATAGCACAGATCAAGGACCCATGATGTAATTATGTTACTATCATTCTGTTACCAGGTGTTGATCCACCTCACTTACTGTAGTTCGATAACCAAACTCAAGGTGTCATGTCATAGCTGACACCTCATTCTTTCTGCAGACCTCTTTGAATCTTAATTCGGAGTAGATATTTAACAGAGTTTTTGGAAAACGTTGTCACATAAAAAACTGAGGGAGATTTTACTGTCATTCTGTTTCCAAACTTTGCATCGTCACTGTTCCTCAAGTAAATGTGTTTTATTAACATTTTCAGTGGCAATTGTAAAAAGTAGATTTCTGCATATAGGTGTATGGTTTGTTAAACTTTGCAACCAATGGTTTTTGCTTGGCATACATTTAAAAGTGAAAAAGTGAGTCTCGGCATCAATCTGTTATCGTGGAACTGCCCAGTAGCAAGGGAAATCCGGCCTTGTAGAGACTTCCTCGGAATGGTATTCGCAAAACCAACAAACATCTTACTCTTTTGAAGGGTGAGTAAATTCCACAAATATGAGCAGTTTATGGACTTAATTAATGTCTATTTCAAGGCTTTTTAAGCCATTAAAATCTCAGCCCCAGGTACACCAAACATTTCCCCAAATGCTACTTTTTCTTAAAGGGACACATCCCCTCTTAAATAAAGGGAGGTGCAACATAAATGGTACATGCTAAGTTTCTAAGAGGAATCCTTGGGACAACCCCACCCAAAACCTTAACCCTTACATTTACTTAACCTTAACCATAAACCGTACCTAACCCTAACCGTAACCTTAATCCTTACCTTAACCGTTTTAAATGTCAACTTCAATGGGGTGACATCAGAGTTGGACATCCCAAGGATCCCACTTAGACTTTTCCCATCAGAAATAGATTTTGCCAGTCTTGGATTTTGCCAGTCCAAATAACGCAGTCAGAACTGGCAGATAGATTACATAAACATTATGAAAATGAAAAGACACAAAGGTTTTATAACTTTAAGCCAGTGAAATATGTATGTGCTTATGTCACCTCACACTCGAAGCAGTGCCACAATAAAGTGAGCATTTCACGCTCACACTTATGATACAGTTTCATCTCTACGCTTTCGCTCACCTTGAATTTGATCTCATTTTGTTTGCAGAGCCACCAGTGACAGTCATAAAAAAACTGGAGGACTTGCGCTTTCCAGAAGCGGCTGTGGCATCAATGGATTGTGAGCTATCAAGGCCTAATGTTGAAGTGAAATGGATGAAGGTAAACAATTCATACCCTTTCCAACCAATAATTACACTATTTTGTTAGCAACCTTTCACTCAATAATACTATGGTGAAAAATAAAGTCATATTCATGGGTTGCACGTCTCGTCACAATATTGTTTTGGACGTTAGTTTTAGGACTGATACCCAGCTGAGCATGCTACTCAGTGCAGTCTTAATAGGGGCTGATTAAGATTGAGTCTAAAGTGCATTACTGTGGCTTGGAAACACGATGACATTTCAAAATGAGGCATATATATTTTTTATTAAGCCATCCACCTGGTCAGTCTATGTCATTGAAAGAGCAGGTGTCCTAATATACACTCAGTGTATATACACATACATACATACAGTTAAAGTCGGATGTTTACATACACTTAGGTTGGAGTCATTAAACCTCGTTTTTCAACCACTCCACAAATTTCTTGTTAATAATCTATAGTTTTGGCAAGTCGATTAGAACATCTACTTTGTGCATGACACAAGTAATTTTTCCAACAATTGTTTACAGACAGATTATTTCACTTATAATTCACTGTATCACAATTCCAGTGGGTCAGAAGTTTACATACACTAAGTTGACTGTGCCTTTAAACAGCTTGGAAAATTCCAGAAAATGATGTCATGGCTTTAGAAGCTTCTGATAGGCTAATTTACATCATTTAAGTCAATTGGAGGTGTACCTGTGGATGTATTTCAAGGCCTACCTTCAAACTCAGTGCCCCTTTGCTTGACATCATGGGAAAATCTAAAGAAATCAGCCAAGACCTCAGAAAGAAAATTATAGACCTCCACAAGTCTTGTTCATCATTGGGAGCAATTTCCAAATGCCTGAAGGTACCACATTCATCTGTACAAACAATAGTATGCAAGTATAAACACAATGGACCACGCAGCCGTCATACCGCTCAGGAAAAAGGGGGTTGCTTGCAAGCCGAAGAACACCATCCCAACCGTGAAGCATGGGGGTGGCAGCATCATGCTGTGGGGGTGCTTTGCTGCAGGAGGGACTGGTGCACTTCACAAAACAGATGGCATCATGAGGAAGGAAAATTATGTGGATATATTGAAGCAACATCTCAAGACATCAGTCAGGAAGTTAAAGCTTGGTCGCAAATGGGTCTTCCAAATGGATAATGACCCCAAGCATACTTCCAAAGTTGTGGCAAAATGGCTTAAGGACAACAAAGTCAAGGTATTGGAGTGGCCATCACAAAGCCCTGACCTCAATCCTATAGAAAATGTGTGGGCAGAACTGAAAAAGCGTGTGCGAGCAAGGAGGCCTACAAACCTGACTCAGTTACACCAGCTCTGTCAGGAGGAATGGGCCAAAATTAACCCAGCTTATTGTGGGAAGTTTGTGGAAGGCTACCCAAAATGTTTGACCCAAGTTAAACAATTTAAAGGCAATGCTACCAAATACTAATTGAGTGTATGTAAACTTCTGACCCACTGGGAATGTGATGAAAGAAATACAAGCTGAAATAAATCATTCTCTCTACTATTATTCTGACATTTCACATTCTTAAAATAAAGTGGTGATCCTAACTGCCCTAAAACAGGGAATTTTTACTAGGATTAAAAACTGAAAAACTGAGTTTAAATGTATTTGGCTAAGGTGTATGTAAACTTCCGACTTCAACTGTACATACATACATATATAGCATTCGGAAAGTATTCAGACCCCTTGACTTTTTCCACATTTTGTTACGTTACAGCCTTGTTCTAAAATGGATTAAATTGTTTTTTTTCCCTCATCAATCTACACACAATACCCCATAATGACAGGTTGTAAGAATTGTTTTGCACAAAACAAAAGTATTCAGACCCTTTACTCAGTACTTTGTTGAAGCACCTTTGGCAGTGATTACAGCCTCGAGTCTTCTTGGGTATAACGCTATAAGCTTGGCACACCTGTATTTGGGGAGTTTCTCCCATTCTTCTCTGCAGATCCTCTCAAGCTCTGTCAGGTTGGATGGGGAGCGTCGCTGTAGAGCAATTTATAGGTCTCTCCAGAGATGTTCGACCGGGTTCAAGTCCGGGCTCTGGCTGGGACACTCAAGGACATTCAGAAACTTGTCCAGAAGCCACTCCTGGGTTGTCTTGGCTTTGTACTTAGGGTCCTTGTCCTGTTGGAAGGTGAACATTCGCCCCAGTCTGAGGTCCTGAGTGCTCTGTAGCAGGTTTTCATCAAGGATCTCTCTGTGCTTTGCTCCGTTCATCTTTCCCTCGATCCTGACTAGTCTCCCAGTCCCGCTGAAAAATATCCCCAGAGCATGATGCTGCCACCACCATGCTTCACCGTAGGGATGGTGCCAGGTTTCCTCCAGACATGACGCTTGGCATTCAGGCCAAACAGTTCAATCTTGGTTTCATCAGACCAGAGAATCTTGTTTCTCATGGTCTGAGAGTCTTTAGGTGCCTTTTGGCAAACTCCAAGCGGGCTGTCATGTGCCTTTTACTGAGGAGTGGCTTCCGTCTGGCCACTCTACCATAATGGCCTGATTGGTGGTGTGCTGCAGAGATGGTTGGCCTTCTGGAAGGTTCTCCCATCTCCACAATCGGGTTCTTGGTCACCTCCCTGACCAAGGCCCTTCTCCCCCGATTGTTCAGTTTGGGTCTTGGTGGTTCCAAACTTCTTCCATTTAAGAATGATGGCCATTATGTTCTTGTGGACCTTCAATGCTGCAGACATTTTTTGGTACTCTTCACCAGATCTGTGCCTCGACACAATCCTGTCTCGGAGCTCTACGGACGATTCCTTCAATCTCATGGGTTGGTTTTTGCTCTGACATGCACTGTCAACTGTGGGACCTTATATAGACAGGTGTGTGCCTTTCCAAATAATGTCCAATCAATTGAATTTACCCCAGGTGGACTCCAATCAAGTTGTAGAAACATCTCAATGATGATCAATGGAAACAGGATGCAACTGAGCTCAATTTCGAGTCTCATAGCAAAGGGTCTGAATACTTATGTAAATAAGGTATTTCAGTTTTGTATTTTTTATAAATTTGCAAACATTTCTAAAAACCTGTTTTCACTTTGTCATTATGGGGTATTGTGTGTAGATTGATGAGAAAAAAATATATAAAAATAAATAATATGAAATAAATTTTAGAATTTTAGAATAAGGCTGTAACATAACAATATGTGGAAAAAGTCAAGCTACTTTCCGAATGCACTGTACATACATACATACATATAATGAACAAAAATAGAAACGCAACATGCAACAATTTCAAAGATCTTACAGAGTTTCAGTTCATATGAGGAAATAAGTCAATTGAAATAAATCCATTAGGCCCTAATCTATGCATTTCACATAACTGGGAATACAGATATGCATCTGTTGGTCACGAATACTTTTTAAAAAATGGGCCTCACGATGGGCCTTAGGATTTCGTCATGGTATTTTTGTGCATTCAAATTGCCATCGATAAAATGCAATTGTGTTCGTTGTCCATAGTTTATGCCTGCCCATACCATAACTCCACCGCCACCATGGTGCACTCTGTTCACAACGTTGACATCAGCAAACCACTCGCCCACACGACGCCATACACATGGTCTAAGGTTGTGAGGCCGGTTGGACGTACTGCAAGAATTCTCTAAAACAACGTTTGAGGTGGATAATGGTAGAGAAATTAACATTACATTTTCTGGCAACAGCTCTGGTGGACATTCCTGCAGTCAGTATTTCAATTGCACGCTCCCTCAAAACTTGAGACATTTGTGGCGTTGTGTTGTGTGACATAACTGCACATTTTAAAGTGGCCTTTTATTGTCCCCAGCACAAGGTGCACCTGTGTAATGATCATGATGTTTAATCAGCTTCTTGATATGCCACACCTGTCATGTGGATGGATTATCTTGGCAAAGGAGAAATGCTCACTAACAGGGATGTAAACAAAGTTGTGCACATCATTTGAGAGAAATAAGCTTTTTATGCGCATGGAACATTTCTGGGATCATTTATTTCAGCTCATTAAACATAGGACCAACACTTTACAAGTTGCATATATATTTTTGTACAGTATACATACATTAGATTTTACTACGGTATACATTATATTATATGTAGTGTTTTCAATAATACCATTCCCGATCATGAGCTCTTTAATTCCACCCCTCAGCTACTCTCAGCCCATCCCACCTATCACCGTAGACCACCCTCGTTTGGTTTCCATGTGCCATATATTTTAACTGTGCTGTAATGTTTTACATTAATTTTGAACCTTTCTAATCGCATAGTATCCACAGATTGTGAGTTAAGATGAAAACCTTTCCTAGGAATATTATTATATTGTTGATTGATTGTCTATGGCTTTCAAAATAATTAGTAGGACAAGCTTTTGTCATCATTGTGATGTTGCCAGATTGACTTTAGATGCAGTACAATTTTAGCTAGCTAGCTAAAATTGAGGGAAGAGCACCGGAATTGTAGCTAGCTAACGTTAGTATTGCTAGCTATTTCTGACAAACTTTGCAAGCTCATGGCAACATTGCATTATCTCTAAAGTAAACTTGACGACGTCATAATGATGCCAAAGTTGTTTTCATACTAATTATTTGCCTACTTTAGCAATGTCATCGTATTTCCAGGCCACTATTGTGTAATGTTTACCGAACAGTCATTAGCCACCGTTCAGAAAGACTGAGCATTAACCATCAGTCGTACATCAATAAACTGCAGCATCTGTAGAACGTTGATAACAATGGCAGCGACTCGACCGAGTGACGGGAGTGCAACCCATGAATAGCTAGGTTTGTAAAATACAACATCTACAAAAAAAAGTATGTTTACTTATACATTATTAATTTACTAAAATGATATGACACATTTAAATAATAATAAAATGTGGAGATGATGAATATTTCTCAATTAAAAATGTTTTATCTTCAGAATGGGATCAAGGTTATACCGCGCAAGGATTTGCGTACTTATGCTATGGGAAGAAAACACTATTTCCAAATCCTGAAGTGTGAAGTCAGTGATTCTGGCACATACACATGTGACGCTGGAGACTCCAGTACATCCTGCAATATAGAGGTCTACGGTACTGTCTGCCGCCTTAATAATCTCCCATATGAACAATATTTTGATGACTAACTAAATGTATAATATCACCTGCTAGTCATTCATTGCCTCACCTCTAGGTTTGATTAGATAGGTTTTGTAGATTTGATTAGATATACTGTACTTTATGGTAACACTTCAGTGTTAAAGTATGACAACACTTTACAGTGTTAGGGCTCTATTTTCTGCTGGTGTTAAGGCGGCGCTAGTGTCAAACGCATGTTAGTTTTACAATTTCGTCATGTAAAATCTGTCACACTGGCATTTTCCAGCCCTAACACCAGGTTCGGCAATTTACCTGTCTTATATCAGCTCGGTTGCGCTCAGATAGGCGGGGTGGACATATTTGAGGTGTGTCCTTAAAAACATGATCCAAAGTGCTAATTTCAGGCAGCACTGATAGGGATATTTATGACCAACCAAAAGCTGGTTTTAGCGGTAACGCAGTTGGTTATGGAATGAATTTTGATAGCGGAAACACAGCCTATCCAGCCGTGACACACACTGCCTATATGCGCATGGAACAAGAGTACCCTAATGTGCTTTTGGTGCCTGTATACTTTGTATTTAGAAACATACAAATAAAAATAAAAAAATATTTTTTTTTTGTTTAAAACCAAGAATAGCCTCCCCTCAAGGAAGGTTTTTTTTTTTTTGTCTGCCCAATGCAATCGCGAATTAGTCAAGACTGTCGATAAAGACTTTGGCTCCTAAAACCACTTGGGAATACATTACATTAAACTCATTTAGCAGACGCTCTTATCCAGAGTGATTTACAGTTAGCGCATACATTATTATTATTACAATACAACATTCAAAACATGAAAACATAACTATATAAAACCATTAAATACAGTTGGATTGTACAGTAATTACAACTCTCAAACTGTTTCCGTCTAACAGCAAAACAACAAGAAAGTTGGATTAACACATTTAGATTGTACATACTGCACTTTGCCTTTGCATTACCCATTAAGTTGTTTAAGGTCATATAAAGGCAGGGTGCAGTATCTGCATTTAAGGGGTCATAGGTCAAATCAGTGGTCATTGTTGATATGTATAAAAATTACTTGATAATAAGATGATACATCAGTGCATTATCACTTATCTACCTATAACATATCTGGCTGGCTAGTAAAACTACTTGAAAGCCATTTTCTCCGTTTCACCGTTGGCATAGTTACTGAGTTTTGCCTTTGTAGGGCAGTATTGTTACATGGGATCTTTTTACATTTTAATAATATATTTTTTAAATGCCCTTTTCCAACTATTTTCTTGTTTTGAAAGGGTGATACAAACACCAATAAGAAAGACATATAGCATCAACCTACTAAAATCCTCAAATGACGTGTTGACGTGAGAGCTTATGTCTTTACCTCCCTCGGCAGAACGGGAGCTTGTGGTCCTGCAAGGCCTGGAGGACCTGGACATACAGGAGGACCAGAATGCTGTGTTTGTGGTTGAGATCTCCCTGGAGGATGTGCCTGGAGAGTGGTTAAAAAATGGAGTGAGAATTACACCAACCAGCACCATCAAGATCCGTCAGGAAGGTCATCCTTACAATCGTTATCATCTCTTATGACAAGTTTTAATACTTTTGGGGTTTACACTTTATAATAACTTTAATATATAAAGCCTTTCTTACAAATTATGATATACACTACCAGTCAAAAGTTTGGACACACTTACTCATTCAAGGGTTTTTCTTTATTTTTACTATTTTTTACATTGTAGAATAATAGTGAAGATATCAAAACTATGAAATAACACATATAAAATCAAGTGTTAAACAAATCAAAATACACTACCGTTCAAAAATTTAGGGTCACTTAGAAATATCCTTGTTTTCGAAAGAAAAGCAAATGTTTTGCCCAATAAAATAACATCAAATTGATCAGAAATACAGTGTAGACAATGTTAATGGCTATTGTAGCTGGAAACGGCAGATTTTTTATGGAAAATCTACATAGGTGTACAGAGGCCCATTATCAGCAACCATCAGTCCTGTGTTCCAATGCTACGTTGTGTTTGCTAATCCAAGTTTATCATTTTAAAAGGCTAATTGATCATTAGAAAACCATTTTGCAATTATGTTAGCACAGCTGAAAACTGTTGTGCTGATTAAAGAAGCAATAAATTGTCCTTCTTAAGACTAGTTGAGTATCTGGAGCATCAGCAATTGTGGGGTCGATTACAGGATCAAATTGGCCAGAAACAAATCACTTTCTTCTAAAACTCTATTCAGTCTATTCTTGTTCTGAGAAATGAAGGTTATTCCATGCCAGAAATTGCCAAGAAACGGAAGATCTCGTACAACGCTGTGTACTACTCCCTTCACAGAACAGCGCAAACTGGCTCTAACCAGAATAGAAAGAGGAGTGGGAGGCCCCGGTGCACAACTGATTAAGAGGACAAATACATTCGAGTGTCTAGTTTGAGAAACAGGTGCCTCACAGGTCCTCAACTGGCAGCTTCATTAAATAGTACCCGCAAAACACCAGTCTCAACGTCAACAGTGAAGAGGCGACTCCGGGATGCTGACCTTTTAGGCAGAGTTGCAAAGAAAAGGCCAAATCTCAGACTGCCCATCTTAATCTTTTCTTTTTATTGGCCAGTCTGAGATATGGCTTGTGTGAGGTATGCTAACATAATTGCAAAAGGGTTTTCTAATGATCAATCAGCCTTTTAAAATGATAAACTTGGATTAACAAACACAACGTGCCATTGGAACGCAGGACTGATGGTTGCTGATAATGGGCCTCTGTACGCTTATGTAGATATTCCATTAAAAAGCAGCAGTTTCCAGCTACAATAGCCATTTACAACATTAACAATGTCTACACTGTATTTCTGATCAATTTGATGTTATTTTAATGGACAAAAAAATTGCTTTTCTTTCGAAAACAAGGACATTTCTAAGTGACCCAAAACTTGTGAACGGTAGTGTATATTTTATTTTTGAGATTCTTCAAATAGCCACCCTTTGCCTTGATGACAGCTTTGCACACTCTTGGCATTCTCTCAACCAGCTTCATGAGGTAGTCACCTGGAATGCATTTCAATTAACAGGTGTGCCTTCTTAAAAGTTAATTTGTGTAATTCCTTTCCTTCTTAATGCGTTTCAGCCAATCAGTTGTGTTGTGACAAGGTAGGGGGGGTATACAGAAGATAGCCCTATTTGGTAAAAGTCCAAGTCCATATTATGGCAAGAACAGCTCAAATAAGCAAAGAGAAATGACAGTCCATTACTTTAAGAAATGAAGGTCAGTCAATCAGGAACATTTCAAGAACTTTGAAAGTTTCTTCAAGTGCAGTCGCAAAAACCATCAAGCGCTATGATGAAACTGGCTCTCATGAGGACCGCCACAGGAATGGAAGACCCAGAGTTACCTCTGCTGCAGAGGATCAGTTAATTAGAGTTACCAGAAGCAGAAATTGCATCATCAAATAAATGCTTCACAGAGTTCAAGTCATGACGAATGGACGTGGCGATGAGGGTATCAAGGTCCATCTCGTGGTCCCGACATGCGAGTTCCATCGTGATGTCCTCCCGTAAGCCTCTCCTGAAGGCCGGAAGTCGCTGCCACCATGCGAAAGCTCAGGGCGTACTCGAACGCGGCCTCCTCTCCCTGTTGTAGCCGGAGGAGACGCTCACCCCCGTCGTTTCCCTCCGTGGGATGATCGAACACCGCCCTGAACCGAGCGAGGAATGTGGAGTAGGGGAGCGCCGCGGCCTCACCTCCTTCCCAGACTGCCGTGGACCAATCCAGCGCCTTTCCCTTTAGTAGTGAAATCACCAGCGCTATCCTGGCTTGGTCTGATGGAGATGCCCCACGCTGAAGTGCCAGATACAGTGAGAGCTGAAGCAGGAAGCCTCTACATTTAGTTGTTTTCCCATCATAGCGCTCCGGCAGGGCGAGGGGTCCCTCAGACGTTGGTGATAGCATGGGAAGAGGGGGACTGGGTGCACTCGCCGCCTCCTGAGGTGGAACCGGAGCGATGGTCAGTTTATGCACCGTTTGGAGCTCTTCCTGCATGGCGGTGTTCAGCTGGGAAATATGCTGCTGGTGCTGGTCGAGGCGCTGGGAAACTCCAGGAGGATTACCTGCTGCATCCATCTTTGTGATTGGTGTGTGATTCTGTGATGAGTACTAAGTATACGAAGAGGCAGGACTCAGACGCAGGAATCAACAATGTAAAGGTTTACTTAACACTGAGCAAGAGAACAACAAAGAGAGAGTACACGACATGTCACTAACAATCACACACAACACAACACTGAACAGTCCCGGGCTATATAGGGGGGGGTGATGAGATGATGAGGTGCAGGTGCGCTGGAGGTGATTAGGGTGCGTTGGGTTTCCATTCTGGTGTTGCCGAGGTGGTGTACTCAGACCGGTGGCTCAGTAGACCGGCTAATCAGAGCGCCGGAGGGGAGCAACGGGAGGAGACGTGACAACCACAGCATTCTGCAGCGATACGCCATCCCATCTGGTTTGGGCTTAGTGGACTATCATTTGTTTTTCAACAGGACAATGACCCAACACACCTCCAGGCTATGTAAGGGCTATTTTACCAAGAAGGAGAGTGATGGAGTGCTGCATCAGATGACCTGGCCTCCACAATCCCCCAACCTCAACCCAATTGAGATGGTTTGGGATGAGTCGGACAGCAGAGTGAAGGAAAAGCAGCCAACAAGTGCTAAGCGTATGTAGGAACTCCTTCAAGACTGTTGGAAAAGCATTCCAGGTGAATCTGGTTGAGAGAATGCCAAGAGTGTGCAAAGCTGTCATCAAGGCAAAGGGTGGCTATTTGAAGAATCTCAAATATAAAATAGATGTTGATTTGTTTAAGACTTTTTTGGTTGCTATATGATTCCATATGTGTTATTTCATAGTTTTGATGTCTTCACTATTATTCTACAATGTAGAAAATAGTAAAAACAAAGAAAAACCCTTGAATGAGTAGGTGTGTCCAAACTCTTCACTGGTACTGTATGTTATCCATGCATATGCATTTTAATGCTTATAAAGGTGTTTATAAATGTTTACAAATAATGATATACTAATGTATCAATAGTGTATGTGCAGTATTTATAGTTAGTAATGAAAGTTATTATAAAGTGTTACCTACCTACCTTTGAAAACGTACATTTTTCTGTCTTGATCCAGTAAGACATCTATAAGACATCTGACTAGGATTGAAATATTATATCAAAGTCTGTGCATGTTGATCTGTAGATAGCGCCAATACTCTTTATGAGCCACTAATTTATTTATACATACATTATAGGTATTTATATACACTGCTCAAAAAAATATAGGGAACACTAAAATAACACATCCTAGATCTGAATGAATGAAATAATCTTATTAAATACTTTTTTCTTTACATAGTTGAATGTGCTGACAACAAAATCACACAAAAATTATCAATGGAAATCAAATTTATCAACCCATGGAGGTCTGGATTTGGAGTCACCCTCAAAATTAAAGTGGAAAACCACACTACAGGCTGATCTAACTTTGATGTAATGTCCTTAAAACAAGTCAAAATGAGGCTCAGTAGTGTGTGTGGCCTCCACGTGCCTGTATGACCTCCCTACAATGCCTGGGCATGCTCCTGATGAGGTGGCGGATGGTCTCCTGAGGGATCTCCTCCCAGACCTGGACTAAAGCATCCGCCAACTCCTGGACAGTCTGTGGTGCAACGTGGCGTTGGTGGATGGAGCGAGACATGATGTCCCAGATGTGCTCAATTGGATTCAGGTCTGGGGAACGGGCGGGCCAGTCCATAGCATCAATGCCTTCCTCTTGCAGGAACTGCTGTCACAGCATATGGTCTCACAAGGGGTCTGAGGATCTCATCTCGGTACCTAATGGCAGTCAGGCTACCTCTGGCGAGCACATGGAGGGCTGTGCGGTCCCCCAAAGAAATGCCACCCCACACCATGACTGACCCACCGACAAACCGGTCATGCTGGAGGATGTTGCAGGCAGCAGAACGTTGTCCACGGCGTCTCCAGACTCTGTCACGTCTGTCACGTGCTCAGTGTGAACCTGCTTTCATCTGTGAAGAGCACAGGGCGCCAGTGGCGAATTTGCAAATCTTGGTGTTCTCTGGCAAATGCCAAACGTCCTGCACGGTGTTGGGCTGTAAGCACAACCCCCACCTGTGGACGTCGGGCCCTCATACCACCCTCATGGAGTCTGTTTCTGACCGTTTGAGCAGACACATGCACATTTGTGGCCTGCTGGAGGTCATTTTTCAGGGCTCTGGCAGTGCTCCTCCTGCTCCTCCTTGCACAAAGGCGGAGGTAGCAGTCCTGCTGCTGGGTTGTTGCCCTCCTACGGCCTCCTCCACGTCTCCTGATGTACTGGCCTGTCTCCTGGTAGCGCCTCCATGCTCTGGACACTACGCTGACAGACACAGCAAACCTTCTTGCCACAGCTCGCATTGATGTGCCATCCTGGATGAGCTGCACTACCTGAGCCACTTGTGTGGGTTGTAGACTCCGTCTCATGCTACCACTAGAGTGAAAGCACCGCCAGCATTCAAAAGTGACCAAAACATCAGCCAGGAAGCATAGGAACTGAGAAGTGGTCTGTGGTCACCACCTGCAAAAGTAGTCCTTTATTGGGGGGTGTCTTGCTAATTGCCTATAATTTTCACCTGTTGTCTATTCCATTTGCACAACAGCATGTGAAATGTATTGTCAATCAGTGTTGCTTCCTAAGTGGACAGTTTGATTTCACAGAAGTGTGATTGACTTGGAGTTACATTGTGTTGTTTAAGTGTTCCCTTTATTTTTTTGAGCAGTGTATGTTTGAATAGTCGAGGATCAACTATGAGTGTTTAAAACAAATGTTATGATGCATTTTACCACCTGTAATAAGTGCTTATAACACATTTTATAATGCCCTGTGGGGTGACACTTGGCACCTTAAAGCTAGAATCCTTAGTTGCCTCAACCATTTTTTGACTTATAAATTCATGATATACCGGTATACCCATTGATTCTTGAAGAATATAACTTATAAATGCCACATGAGCTTAGTTCAACTGTCGTACCTCATAAGAACCCAAGATATGAGCTTGTTTTACTCCAATGTTTATAAACAACGTAAATGTAAACAAACATTGTATAGCCTCAAAACATGGTTAAAACTATACATTTTATATAATGTATGGTCAGTCCTTGCATCCATAGCTGTCTATGAATTTGAGAGTGGTTACATTTCTCCAGCCCTTAGCTTTTTAGCGAAACAGGGGCGGGGAGGGCACTTTCTTATTGTTTAAATTAAGGATTCTAGCTTTAAGTGCATGTGTAATGCTTTATGAACATGCGGCTCTTAGAAACATGACTTTAAATTCTCAACACACTAATATAGCTGGAAAACAAATTAAGCTTCTATGGTAACTGATTTTGCATGTCTTTTTAGGGACCAAGCATTTTCTTCTAATGTGCAATGTGAGAGGAGAGGACTCCGGAGAGATCAAGTTTGTCGCGAAACACTTAGAATGCACAGCCTATCTGGAGGTGGAGGGTAATATGATTACTTCTTCTGTGTATTCCCACTCCTTTCATACTTGTGTGGTTTTGTTGAACGGATAGGACAGTGAAGAGACAGGAAAGGTAGGAGAAGTGCGAGTCGGAGGGGCAGTGGTTCGATTTCAAACCCCTGTCACCTCTGGTAGAACTAACTACTCTAGACCATGCAGGCCTCCTCCTTTCCTGTACACATGAAATGTAGTCAAATCTCCTGACACAATGTAGGCAGGAAAATACTGCCTCACATTTAAATATCAGGTAAACTCATACAGTTGAAGTCTGAATTCTACATACACCTTAGCCAAATACATTTAAACTCAGTTTTTCACCATTCCTGACATTTAATCCTAGTAAAAATTCCCTGTCTTAGGTCAGTTAGGATCACCACTTTATTTTAAGAATGTGAAATGTCAGAATAATAGTATAGAGAATGATTTATTTCAGCTTTTATTTATTTCATCACATTACCAGTGGGTCAGAAGTTTACTTACACTCAATTAGTATTTGGTAGCATTGCCTTTAACTTGTTTAACTTGGGTCAAACGTTTCGGGTAGCCTTCCACAAGCTTCCCACAATAAGTTGGGTGAATTTTGGCCCATTCCTCCTGACAGAGTTGGTGTAACTGAGTCAGGTTTGTAGGCCTCCTTGCTCGCACACACTTTTTCAGTTCTGCCCACAAATGTTCTATAGGATTGAGGTCAGGGCTTTGTGATGGCCACTCCAATACCTTGACTTTGTTGTCCTTAAGCCATTTTGCCACAACTTTGGAAGTATGCATGGGGTCATTGTCCATTTGGAAGACCCATTTGCGACCAAGCTTTAACTTCCTGACTGATGTCTTGAGATGTTGCTTCAATATCTCCACATAATTTTCCTTCCTCTTGATGCCATCTATTTTGTGGAGTGCACCAGTCCCTGCTGCAGCAAAGCACCCCCACAGCATGATGCTGCCACCCCCGTGCTTCACGGTTGGGATGGTGTTCTTTGGCTTGCAAGTCACCCTCTTGTTCCTCCAACCATAATGATGGTCATTATGGCCAAACAGTTCTATTTTTGTTTCATCAGACCAGAGGACATTTCTCCAAAAAGTACGATCTTTGTCCCCATGTGCAGTTGCAAACCGTAGTCTGGCTTTTTTATGGCGGTTTTGGAGCAGTGGCTTGTTCCTTGCTTAACGGCCTTTTAGGTTATGTCGATATAGGACTCGTTTTGCTGTGGATATAGATACTTTTGTACCTGTTTCCTCCAGCATCTTCACAAGGTCCTTTGCTGTTATTCTGGGATTGATTGAGACAGAACGCGTCTCCTTCCTGAGCGGTATGTTGGCTGCGTGGTCCCATGGTGTTTATACTTGCGTACTATTGTTTGTACTGATGAACGTGGTACCTTCAGGCATTTGGAAATTGCTCCCAAGGCTGAATCAGACTTGTAGAGGTCTACAATTTTTTTTCTGAGGCCTTGGCTGGTTTCTTTTGATTTTCCCAAAGAGGTACTGAGTTTGAAGTTAGGCCTTGAAATGCATCCACACGTACACCTTCAATTGACTCAAATGATGTCAATTAGCCTATCAGAAGCTTCTAAAGCCATGACATCATTTTCTGGAATTTCCCAAGCTGTTTAAAGGCACAGTCAACTTAGTGTATGTAAACTTCTGACCCACTGGAAATGTAATACAGTGAATTATAAGTGAAATAATCTGTCTGTAAACAATTGTTGGAAAAATTACTTGTGTCATGCGCAAAGTAGAAGTCCTAACCGACTTGCTAAAACTATTTGTGGAGTGGTTGAAAAACGAGTTTTATTGACTCCAACCTAAGTGTATGCAAACTTCTGACTTCAACTGTACCTGTAGCTCAGTTGTTAGCGCATGGGCCTTGCAATGCTAGGATAGTTGGATTGATTCCAGTGTACACGTATACATAAAATGTATGCACTCACAACTAAGTTGCTTTGGATAAAAGTGTTCAAATTGCATATTATATACAGTGAGGGAAAAATGTATTTGATCCCCTGCTGATTTTGTAAGTTTGCCCACTGACAAAGCCATGATCAGTCTATCATGTTAATGGTAAGTTTATTTGAACAGTGAGAGACAGAATAACAACAAAAAAATCCAGAAAAATGCATGTCAAAAATGTTATTAATTGATTTGCATTTTAATGAGGGAAATAAGTATTTGACCCCTCTGCAAAACATGATTTAGTACTTGGTGGCAAAACCCTTGTTGGCAATCACAGAGGTCAGACGTTTCTTGTAGTTGGCCACCAGGTTTGCACACATCTCAGGAGGGATTTTGTCCCACTCCTCTTTGCAGATCTTCTCCAAGTCATTAAGATTTTGAGGCTGACGTTTGGCAGCTCGAACCTTCAGCTCCCTCCACAGATGTTCTATGGGATTAAGGTCTGGAGACTGGCTAGGCCTCTCCAGGACCTTAATGTGCTTCTTCTTGAGCCACTCCTTTGTTGCCTTGGCCGTGTGTTTTGGGTCATTGTCATGCTGGAATACCCAGCCACGACCCATTTTCAATGCCCTGGCTAAGGGAAGGAGGTTCTCACCCAAGATTTGACGGTACATGGCCCCGTCCATCGTCCCTTTGATGCAGTGAAGTTGTCCTGTCCCCTTAGCAGAAACACACCCCCAAAGCATAATATTTCCACCTCCATGTTTGACGGTGGGGATGGTGTTCTTGGGGTCATAGGCAGCATTCCTCCTCCTCCAAACACGGCGAGTTGAGTTGATGCCAAAGAGCTCAATTTTGGTCTCATCTGACCACAACACTTTCACCCAGTTCTCCTCTGAATCATTCAGATGTTCATTGGCAAACTTCAGACGGGCCTGTATGTGTGCTTTCTTGAGCAGGGGGACCTTGTGGGCGCTGCAGGATTTCAGTCCTTCACGGCGTAGTGTGTTACCAATTGTTTTCTTGGTGACTATGGTCCCAGCTGCCTTGAGATCATTGACAAGATCCTCCCGTGTAGTTCTGGGCTGATTCCTCACCGTTCTCATGATCATTGCAACTCCACGAGGTGAGAACTTACATGGAGCCCCAGGCCGAGGGAGATTGACAGTTCTTTTGTGTTTCTTCCATTTGCGAATAGTCGCACCAACTGTTGTCACCTTCTCACCAAGCTGCTTGGCGATGGTCTTGTAGCCCATTCTAGCCTTGTGTAGGTCTACAATCTTTTTTCCCTGACATCCTTGGAGAGCTCTTTGGTCTTGGCCATGGTGGAGAGTTTGGAATCTGATTGATTGATTGCTTCCGCGGACAGGTGTCTTTTATACAGGTAACAAACTGAGATTAGGAGCACTCCCTTTAAGAGTGTGCTCCTAATCTCAGCTCGTTACCTGTATAAAAGACACCTGGGAGCCAGAAATCTTTCTGATTGAGAGGGGGTCAAATACTTATTTCCCTCATTAACATGCAAATCAATTTATAACGTTTTTGACATGCATTTTTCTGGATTTTTTTGTTGTTATTCTGTCTCTCACTGTTCAAATAAACCTCCCATTAAAATTATAAACTGATCATGTCTTTGTTAGTGGGCAAACGTACAAAATCAGCAGGGGATCAAATACTTTTTTCCCTCACTGTATATATATATATATATATATACAGTACCAGTCAAAAGTTTGGACACATCTACTCATTCCAGGGTTTTTCCTTATTTTTACTATTTTTAACATTGTGGAATCATGTAGTAACCAGAAAAGTGTTAAACAAATATATATATATTATTTTAGATTCTTCAAAGTAGCCACCCTTTGCCTTCATGACAGCTTTGCACACTCTTGGCATTCTCTCAACCAGCTTCATGAGGTAGTCACCTGGAATGCATTTTAATTAACAGGTGTTCCTTGTTAATTTGTGGAATTTCTTTCCTTCTTAGTGCATTTGAGCCAATCAGTTGTGTTGTGACAAGGTAGGGGTGGCATACAGAAGATAGCCCTATTTGGTAAAAGACCAAGCCCATATTATGACAAGAACAGCTCAAATAAGCAAAGAGAAACGACAGTCCATCATTACTTTAAGACATGAAGGTCAGTCAATCAGGAACATTTCAAGAACTTTGAAAGTTTCTTAAAGTGCAGTCGCAAAAACCATCAAGCACTATGATGAAACGGGCTCTCATGAGGACTGCCACAGGAATGGAAGACCCAGAGTTACCTCTGCTGCAGAGGATACGTTCATTAGAGTTAACTGCACCTCAGATTGCAACCCAAGTAAATGCTTCACAGAGTTCAAGTAACAGACTCATCTCAACACCAACTGTTCAGAGGAGACTGCGTGAATCAGGCCTTCATGGTCGAATTGCTGCAAATAAACCACTACTAAAGGACACCAATAATAAGAAGAGACTTGTTTGGGCCAAGAAACACGAGCAATGGACATTATACCGGTGGAAATCTGTCTTTTGGTCTGATGAGTCTTTGTGAGACGCAGAGTAGGTGAACGGATGATCTCTGCATGTGTGGTTCCCACCATGAAGCATGGAGAAGGAGGTGTTATGGTGTGGGGGTGCTTTGCTGGTGACACTGTCGGTGATTTATTTAGAATTCAAGGCACACTTCATCAGCATGGCTACTACAGAATTCTGCAGCGATACGCCATCCCATCTGGTTTGCGCTTAGTGGGACTATCATTTGTTTTTCAACAGGACAATTACCCAACACACAGCTCCAGGCTGTTTAAGGGCTATTTGACCAATGAGAGTGATGGAGTGCTGCATCAGATGACTTGGCCTCCACAATCACCCGACCTCAACCCAATTGAGATGGTTTGGGATGAGTTGGACCACAGAGGGAAGGAAAAGCAGCCAACAAGTGCTCAGCATATGTGGGAAAGCATTCCTCATGAAGCTGGTTGAGAGAATGCAAAGAGTGTGCAAAGCTGTCATCAAGTCAAAGGGTGGCTACTTTGAAGAATAAAAAATAAAAAATATATTTTGAATTGTTTAACACTTTCTTGGTTACTACATGATTCCATATGTGTTATTTCATAGTTTTGATGTCTTCAGTATTATTACACAATGTAGAAAATAGTACAAATAAAGAAAAACCCTTGAATGAGTAGGTGTGACCTAACTTTTGACTGGTACTGTATATATATAGTGCGCTCAGAAAGTATTTAGACCCCTTCACTTTTTTCACATTTTGTTACGTACAGCCCTGTTCTAAAAATGGTTACATTGTTTTTCCCCCTCATAAATCTACACACAACACCCCATAATGACAAAGCAAAAACAGGTTTTCAGAAATTTTTGAAAATGTATTAAAAATAACAAACTGAAATATCACATTCACATAAGGATTCAGACCCTTTGTTGAAGCACCTTTGGCAGTGATTACAGCATCGAGTCTTCTTGGGAATGACACTACAAGCCTGGCACACCTGTATTTGGGGTGTTTCTCCTATTATTCTCTGCAGATCCTCTCAAGCTCTGTCAGGTTGGATGGGGAGCATCGCTGCACATCTATTTTCAGGTCTCTCCAAAGATATTAGATCGGGTTCAAGTCCGGGCTCTGGCTGGGCCACTCAAGGACATTCAGAGACTTGTCCTGAAGCCCCTCCTGCATTGTCTTGGCTGTGTGCTTAGTTGAACCTTCATCCCAGTCTGAGGTCCTGAGCGCTCTGGAGCAGGTTTTCATCAAGGATCTCTCCGTTCATCTTTCCCTCGTTCTTGACAAGTCTCCCAGTCCCTGCCCTGAAAAACATCCCCACAGTATGTTGCTGCCACCACCATGCTTCACCGTAGGAATGGTGCCAGGTTTCCTCCAGATGTGACACTTGGCATTCAGGCCAAACAGTTCAATTTTTGGTTTCATCAGACCAGAGAATCTTATTTTGTCATGGTCTGAGAGTCCTTTAGGTGCCTTTTGGCAAACTCCAAGCGGGCTGTCATGTGCCTTTTACTGAGGAGTTGCTTCCCTCTGGCCACGTTACCATAAAGGCCTGATTGGTGGAGTACTGCAGCGATGGTGTCCTTCTGAAAGGTTCTCCCATCTCCACAGAGGAATTCTGGAGCTCTGTCAGAGTGACCATTGGGTTCTTGGTCACCTCCCTAACCAAGGCCCTTCTTCCCCGATTGCTCAGTTTGGCTGGGCGGAAGGTCCCTAACTTCTTCCATTTAAGAATGATGGAGGCCACTGTGTTCTTGGGGACCTTCAATGCTGCAGAACTGTGTTGGTACCCTTCCCCAAATCTGTGCCTTGACAAAATCCTGTCTCAGAGCTCTACGGACAAATCCTCCGACCTCATGGCTTGTTTTTTTCTCTGACATGCACTGTCAAATGTAGACCTTATATAGACAGGTTTGTGCCTTTCAAATCATTACCAATCAATTGAATTTACAACAGGTAGAATCCAATCAAGTTGTAGGAACATCTCAAGGATGATTAATGGAAACAGGATGCATCTGAGCTCAATTTCAAGTGTCATAGCAAAGGGTCTGAATACTTATGTAAATAAGGTATTTCAGTTTTTTTTTAATACATTTCCAACATTTCTAAAAACCTGTTTTTGCTTCGTCTTTATGGGGTACTGTATGTAGATTGATGAGGGAAAAAAGTAATTTAATCAATTTTAGAATAAGGCTGTAACGTATGAAAATGTGGAAAAAGGGAAGGGGTCTGGCTACTTTCCGAATGCACTGTGTATATATATTATTGTAGTAACAAAATAATGTGTTTGGGGCAAATTAGTTATGGGGGCGGATATGGAAAGTCCATGTAAATATCAGATGCTTTTTTCCCAATAGGATATAGGTAAATATAGAATTATTGATTTTGGTGCCTGTCATTTGTCCAAATGAATTATTGTCAGGTTTCAGAACACACCTCGCGACACATTCGGAAACAAAACAATTTGTATTTTATTCTTGCAGAGCTTCCGTTGAACATAACGAACCCTCTCCAGGACAAGGTAGCCCTTGAGAGGAGTCGTGCGATCATGGACTGCTCAGTTTCCAACCCTCGGTGTAGTATCCGCTGGTACAAGGGCAGCAATGTCATCCTGCCCTCAGAGCACTTTGAGATCTGCAGTGAGGGCTGCTATCGCAAGCTGGTCATTCAACAGGTGGCACTGGACGATGAGGGAACCTACAGTGTGCAGGTTGGAGAGCACACATGCTCTGCGAAACTGACCGTAGAAGGTAAGAAAATCTATTAAAGTGACAGTTCACCCCACAATCAAAGTTTGTCAGATGTTTGACATGAAAATTTGCCTTTTGTCAAAATGACGCCATGTCCCACTCCATTTATTGTGTTGATACAGCCACAGTATTTGCCTGAATTTCAAATGAATAGAAACAGTAGGCACTAAATATTTTCTCAATTTTATTCAGTAACATAACAAGATCAGTAATATAAGGTAAGTTTTGCATCCCCCTGATGGTTAGGATTTGGGGAGAGTAGGATAATCTTAGATCTGTCTAAGGGAAACTTCTACGAGGAGCGTAGAAGGATGAGTGTCCTGAATATAACAGCTCCATCTACTGGGAACATGGCAGGAAGACATTCCTATTCATTACACACTGCAGACTACAGCTCACTCAGTTCAGTATTTGATAGGATCATAGGTCAACTCTAGTACTGTGGAATTATAATGCAGTTACTAAAGTACTAACTAACAACATTGTATCAACATGTTGTTACTAGTGTACTTACAGTGTAACTCAGGTGTGAAAGTAAAGTGTTATAAATCCAATTTAAGCATTGTTCCATGCACCTTATCTGCAATTAACACGTGCAGGTGAGTAATTTCATTCTTATTTAATTCATCATAGAGTGATTAGAGTGTATAGTGTAATAATGTTTAAGGGTATATTTAGCAAGGTGACATCATCAAACACAACGGGGTAACCTCATAAAACATGGACAACAACCTCAACAGACTTCAAAACAGCCATTATTGGGGAGGGTGCTAATTGTGAAAGGCCAACAATGGCAGTCGTAGTAGATCTGAATTTTGGTGACATTGTGGTCTGATGTTGTTTTGTCATTAATGATGATGTCATCTTGTTGAGTGTACCTTTAAGTGTTCCCCTATTCTTCCCTCAATTTATTTATCTTTCTCTGTGCAACACAGCCCAGTCTCTCCTGATGGTGAGGGAACTGAAGAGCGTGGAGGTGGTGGCCCCGGATGAGGCCTGCTTCGAGTGTGAGGTCTCGGTCCCCGTCCTCAAAGCCCCCGTGTGGAGCCTAAAGGGGGAGGCCCTGCAGCAGGGGCCCAAGTTCAGCCTAGAGAAGATGGGCAATGTCCACCGACTCACCATCCGACAAACCTCTGTCGACATGAACGGCTTGGTGGAGTTCACGTTGGGAAAAGCCAAGAGCAGCGCCGAGCTCCACGTCAAGAGTAGGCGAACCCTTTTCCTTTTACATGTGATTTGGCATAACAGCTGCACATGGCGAGAGAAGTGTGACATACTGTAAGCTATGTTTGGTGTTTATGTGCAGTTCTCTCCATGGGCATTGACATCTAGGTCAGACGAGACAGAATGTATATCCTAGTAGACTTCTACGGCTATATTTACAGGCTGACAGTAGTAAAATACTTTTCGTTTTATAACATGGTCTATAATTGAATAAGTATTATGTTCATTCATCACATTAATGCAGTCAAAGTGTGCCGTGAGCGTAATAGATATTACATAACGAACCCCTTCACACCTTGCATTGAAAATATTTTATTTAAGCTAATTTCTCCTAACGTATCACTTGGGCCATTATGCAATAGGGCTTAATGTCTGTAATAAAGCCCTATTGTGTGGGAAAACTTTTTCTGATTGGCTGGGCCTGATGCCCCCGTGGCTGTGCCCCTGCCCAGTCATGTGATATCCATAAATTAGGGCTAAATTAATTTATTTCAATTGACTGATTTCCTTCCATGAACTGTAACTTAGTAAAATCTTTGAAATTTGTGCATGTTGCGTTTATATTTTTGTTCAGTATAAATGAGCTCCCAATGCATTTCAATGGCAAAAAAAAAGGCCCATAGACTTGAATGGTAAAAAAAAAAAATACATTCTAGACCTATCTAGAAACGTTTAAGCTATTAACTCCAAACCAACGTTGAGATATTGAGACTGACCCAACTTGTATCAATTGGATTCAGAATTTTGATAACATTTATACTTTTTGAACTATAACCATTTTAAATGTTAATAAAAGCTCCATATGCTTGAATAGAACGTTTTTGAATTTGCCACTGCTCTTACACCGTTCATGCTATTAACACGAAACCAACGTTGATATGTTCAGACTGACCCAACTTAGATTGTTTTTGTTTTTTACAGATTTTTGATACCATTTATACTTTTAAAACTATAACCATTTAAAATGTGCATAAATTAACATGAGTTTAAATGAGAACAATAGGATTGCAGAGGTAGCAATTAAAAATGGTCCTGCTCCTTGGCCAATTAAGCTACAAGACCAACTTTAAAACATCACATATCCTAAATTCATTTTTTTATTTGACTTTATCAACTATAACTATATACATTTTTTTTATTGCATAAAATAACTCACCAACAGTAACTCCTGAACCGTTTAAGCTAAAGACACCAAACAAACTTTCACATGTTCAGGCTATCCTAACTTAAAATTCCTTAAAACTTGTATCAACTATAACTATATAAATTTGCATAAATTAGCATAAAATAACCCACTAACAGTAACTCTTGAACCAATTAAGCTAGAGACAACAAACCACTTTTCACATTTTCATGCTATCCTATCCTATCAATCAATCGATCTTTCACAAGCTAGCAAGCACACCACATTTTCCTCAGGAAATGTACTTGTCATGTTGTTTCAATGTATCAACACTATGGAGTGCCAACATAAATGTAGTTTACATTTCAAATAATGAAATACAAATGATTTTGGAATGTATGAATTAAGACAGACATTCTTGTCTTATTGTGGAAACCTGTTTACCATTTTGCATGAATAGAACATACTGTATATATAGGATTGATAGTCCTGAGTATTTGTGTATTTATTTTCTACTCTTCAACAGGTGATCCTTGACAGACGCAGTAGCGTCTTGATGCAGTATCAACATCAGAATGAGATGGATCAATATCTTATCCACCAATTTATTTGTGTTCATATTTGTAATGTGAAATTCGAATGTATGGATTAGAATTTAAATATATTTTCCTGTCTTTAAAAAGGGGGTGAATAGTTTGTGTCAACGCTTTTAACAATAAGTTATTAAAATATTTTGTATAATTATTTCCCAATGCAGATACCCCTTCTCACTTGAAACAATGTCTTGAAACAATGTCCTCTTCAGAGGCTCTAGGTGAATTCAATTATCAACCAACATAAGTACAGAAATGACTAAATTGTCTCTCTGAATACGAGCATGTGCTTAATCCATATCATGTAATATAAACATTTTATGTAATATAAAAATGTGTTCTAAAGTCAGCCATAAAATACAGTTGGTGAATGCAATTGATTACAGGCGTGGCACCGAATCCTAACTTGAGATCCATGTTTGAGTGGACTCTGCTTGCAATTTTTTTTTTTTTTTTTTTTTTTTTTTCCCATAGGTATGAATGCATGCTTTATGCAAAAGTCTGTGTTGCGCACTGACATCCTATGTCAGAATTTGGGCCATAATGGTTACTTATAGCTACTATTGAGACACTGTATGTTGTTTAGAAGTGACGAATCCTAACTTGAGCTACCAGCTTTTTCACATAAATCTCCCATTGACATCAACGAATTTATCCAGAACTTTGAGATACAAACTTTTCTCAAGTTAGGATTCAGTCCTAAGTTAAAAAAGGTTCTTAAAAGGTTCCATTAGTTCTATTATAATTTACTTTAAGTGTCCATTTAGTCAGTCAGTCAAATTTCTAATTGCATCATTTCATTTGTATTTTTCAACACGTGTCCATTGTATAGACATCGTTTTTTACATTTTGAAGTTGTTTTTTGGAGGCAGATATTCAAGCTACTTTGAAGAATGGGTTCTGTCAAGTAACATGGGGCTTGTAATATAAATACATTGGGCCAAAATTGGTTAATTTAGAAAGGTAGTTTATATTGATCATTTTATTAGATTATATTCAAGTTTAAATGCAGAGTTGACTGAGTAATATAATTATATTGTATTGAATAATTAATGAATATGGTTTTCATATGAAGTGAAGTCAGTTCCATATTCCTTTTTCTTTTTAATTTAATTTGTTTCCAACACCCCCTACATTGTATTGAATTGCTCCATTAGTGTATGCATCATTCATTGTATTAGGATATGACCTCTTTCAATAAATCATGCTTTATTGTGGTACAAATCGTTTTCTAGTTCTTTCTATTCTTAAATTTGATTAGCAGCTATAACTCATTCAAGCACTTGATTTAGCCCAAGTTTCTTTACTTGGATGTCAACACTCTTGTTGCATGCTGTGAAAAAAACCCAGCAAATTATTATAGTAATTGAAAGATCTTTTGTATTGAAAGATGTATATCTTGTCAAATGAATGCTGCATTTTACTTCTAAGGTAACGCAGACTCACATGCACAGACACATAGTCACACGCAAGCAAGCACGGCAGGAAGTGTCATGAAGTAAATGAGGATCTTTACAAGGCATGTAATACAAGGAGCTATTACAAGGCTCCCCACTCATCTGACTGTACAGGTTAAATGACCACTACATTAGACTTGCAATATGATATCGCATATCAAAAAGGTCAAGTACAAGCACTTGTTAAAATCAAATGTCACATATACATCTCCAGCATATGGATTACAAACCATTTCCCCACCTGGACACCGTACTAGAATTATTCCAAGCTAGCACATTTTATTTTGCCCATATCGGTTAATCTACAACATAAAACATGACATCTTTAATATACTTAAAATTAATAATCAAAACAACTGCCTAAATATTGAAAGCTGTACAAATGTTATCTCACCACATCCATATTGGCACTTGTAGTTCTGACCATCAGATATTAGGGCTGAAAGACCCATCAGTCTGTCGTCATTCTGTCCAGCTACAAGGCATCTGCTTATTGGAGACCACTCTCCAGTCATACAGGTAGTCTGTTGCCTATCTGTATTCAGGGATGTGTATTCTGGGATGTGGAACTCTGAACGTTGCAGATAGAAATAAAATGAATAGAGCTGACAATGTACAGTGCAATCGGAAAGTATTCAGACCCCTTGACTTTTTCCACATTTTGTTATGTTACAGCCTTATTCTAAAATTGATTTTAGAATAATGACAAAGCAAAAACAGGTTTTTAGAAATGTTTTCAAATGTATAAAAAAAAAAACTGAAATAGCACATTTACATAAGTATTCAGACCCTTTATTCAGTACTTGGTTGAAGCACCTTTGGCAGCAATTACAGCTTCGAGTATTCTTGTGTATGACGCTACAAGCTTGGCACACCTGTATTTGGGGAGTTTCTCCCATTCTTCTCTGCAGATCCTCTCAAGGTCTGTCAGGTTGGATTGGGAGCGTCTCTGCACAGCTATTTTCAGGTCTCTCCAGAGATGTTTGATCGGGTTTTTTTTACATTTACATTTTTAGTCATTTAGCAGACGCTCTTATCCAGAGCGACTTACAGTTAGTGAATACATATTTTTTAACATATACTGGCCCCCGTGGGAATCGAACCCACAACCCTGGCGTTGCAAACGCCATGCTCTATCAACTGAGCTACATCCCTGCCGGCCATTCCCTCCCCTACCCTGGACGACGCTGGGCCAATTGTGCGCCGCCCATGAGTCTCCCGGTCGCGGCCGGCTGCGACAGAGCCTGGATTCGAACCAGGATCTCTAGTGGCACAGTTAGCACTGCGATGCAGTGCCTTAGACCACTGCGCCACTCAGGAGTATTGAGGGTTCAAGTCCGGGCTCTGGCTGGGCCACTCAACACTCCTGTGTTGTCTTGGCTTTGTGCTTAGGGTCGTTGTCCTGTTGGAGGTCTGAGGTCCTGAGCGCTCTGTATCAGGTTTTCATCAAGGATCTCTCTGTACTTTGCTCCGTTCATCTTTGCCTCGATCCTGACTAGTCTCCCAGTCCCTGCAGCTGAAAAACATCCCCACAGCATGATGCTGCCACCACCATGCTTCACCGTAGGGATGGTGCCAGGTTTCCTCCAGACATGACGCTTTGGCATTCAGGCCAAAGAGTTCAATCTTGGTTTCATCAGACCAGAGAATTTTGTTTCTCATGATCTGAGAGTCCTTTAGGTGCCTTTTGGCAAACTCCAAGCGGGCTGTCATGTGCCTTTTACTGAGGAGTGGCTTCCGTCATGCAGCCTTATTGGTGGAGTGCTGCAGAGATGGTTGTTCTTCTGGAAAGTTCTCCCATCTCCACAGAGGAACTCTAGAGCTCTGTCAGAGCGACCATCAGGTTCTTGGTCACCTCCCTAACCAAGGCCCTTCTCCCCCGATTGCTCAGTTTGGCCGGACGGAAGGTTCCAAATTTCTTCCTTTTAAGAATGACGGAGGCCACTGTGTTCTTGGGGACGTTCAATGCTACAGAAATGTTTTGGTACCCTTCCCCAAATCTGTGCTTTGACACAATCCTGTCTCGGAGCTCTTTATATAATTCCTTTGACCTCATGGCTTGGTTTTTGCTCTGACATTCACTGTCAAATGTGGAACTTATATAGACAGGTGTGTGCCTTTCAAATCATGTCCAATCAATTGAATTTACCACAGGTGGACTCCAATCAAGTTATAGGAACATCTCAAGGATGATTAATGGAAACAGGATGCATCTGAGCTCAATTTCAAGTCTCATAGCAAAGGGTCGGAATACTTATGTAAATAAGGTATTTTTATTTTTAATTTTTAATACAGTTGCAAAAATGTCTAATACCTGTTTTCGCTTTGTCATAATGGGGTATTGTATGTAGATTGATGAGGGAAAAAAGTAATTTAATCCATTTAGAATAAGGATGTAACGTAACAAAATGTTGAAAAAGGAAAGGGGTCTGAATACTTTCCAAATGCACAGTGTATATATATTATTATAGTAACAAAATAATGTTTTGGGGCAAATTAGTTATGGGTGCGGATATGGAAGGTCTATGTAAATACCAGATGCTTTATTCCCAATAGAATATACTGTAGGTAAATATAGAATTATTGATTTTGGTGCCTGCCATTTGTCCAAATGAATTATTGTCAGGTCTCAGAACCTCGCGACACATTCAGAAAACAAAACAATTTGTATTTTATCCTTGCAGAGCTTCCGTTGAACATAACAAACCCTTTCCAGGACAAGGTATCCCTTGAGAGGAGTCGTGCGATCATGGACAGCTCAGTGTCCAACCCTCGGTGCAGTATCCGCTGGTACCAGGGCAGCAATGTCATCCTGCCCTCAGAGCGCTTTGAGATCTGCAGTGAGGGCTGCTATCATAAGCTGGTCATTCAACAGGTGGCACTGGACGATGAGGGAAACTACAGTGTGCAGGTTGGAGAGCACACATGCTCTGCGAAATTGACTGTAGAAGGTAAGAAAATCTATTAAAGTGACAGTTCACCCCACAATCAAAGTTTGTCAGATGTTTGACATGAAAATGTGCCTTTGGTCAAAATGAGGCCACGTTCTACTCCATTTATTGTGTTGATACAGCCACTATATTTGCCTGAATTTCAAATGAATGGAAAAAGTAGGCACTAAATATTTTCCCAATTTTATTCAGTAACATAACAAGATCAGTAATATAAGGTAAGTTTTGCATCCCCCTGATGGTTAGGATTTGGGGAGAGTAGGCTAATCTTAGATCTGTCTAAGGGCAACTTCTATCAGGAGCATAGAAGGATCACTGTCCTGAATATAACAGCTCCATCTACTGGGAACATGGCAGTAAGACATTCTTGTTCATTAAACACTGCAGACTACAGCTCACTCAGTTCAGTATTTGATAGGATCATAGGTCAACTCTAGTACTCTGCAATTATAATGCAGTTACTAAAGTACTATCTAACAACATTGTATCAACATGTTGTTACTAGTGTACTTACAGTGTTACTCAGGTATGGAAGTAAAGTGTTATAAATTCAATTTAAGCATTGTTCCATGCACCTTACCTGCAATTAACATGTGCAGGTGAGTAATTTGAATCTCATTTAATTCACCATAAAGTGATTAGAGTGTATAGTGCAATCATGTTTAAGGGTATACTTAGCAAGGTGACATCATCAAACACAACGGGGTAACCTCATACAACATGGACAACAACCTCAACAGACTTCAAAACAGACATTATTGGGGAAGGTGCAAATTGTGTAAGGCCAACAATGGCAGTCGTTGTAGATCTGAATGTTGGTGACATTGTGGTCTGATGTTGTTTTATCATTGATGATGCTGTCATCTTGTTGAGTGTACCTTTAAGGGGTCCCCCATTCTTCCCTCAATATATTTATCTTTCTCTTTGCAACACAGCCCAGTCTCTCCTGATGGTGAGGGAACTGAAGAGCGTGGAGGTGGTGGTCCCGGATGAGGCCTGCTTCGAGTGTGAGGTCTCGGTCCCCGTCCTCAAAGCCCCCGTGTGGAGCCTAAAGGGGGAGGCCCTGCAGCAGGGGCCCAAGGTCAGCCTAGAGAAGATGGGCAATGTCCACCGACTCACCCTCCGACAGACCTCTGTCGACATGAACGGCTTGGTGGAGTTCACGTCGGGAAAAGCCAAGAGCAGCGCCGAGCTCCACATCAAGAGTAGGCGAACCCTTTTCCTTTTACATGTGATTTGGCATAACAGCTGCACATGGCGAGAGAAGTGTGACATACTGTAAGCTATGTTTGGTGTTTATGTGCAGTTCTCTCCATGGGCATTGACATCTAGGTCAGACGAGATGGAATGTATATCCTGGTAGACTTCTAAGGCTATATTTACAGGCTGACAGTAGTAAAATACTTTTCGTTTTATAACATGGTCTATGATTGAATAAGTATTATGTTCATTAATCACATTAATGCGGTCAAAGTTTGCCGTGAGCGTAAAAAATTGTACATACAGAACCACTTTACACCTTGCATTGAAAATATTTGATTTAAGCTAATTTCTCCTAACGTATTTTTTATTTTTTTATTTCAGCTTTATTTAACCAGGTAAGCCAGTTGAGAACAAGTTCTCATTTACAACTGCGACCTGGCTAAGATAAAGCAAAGCAGTGCGATAAAAACAACAACATCATAGAGTTACATATGAAATAAACAAAAACGTACAGTCAATAACACAATAGAAAATCAATATACAGTGTGTGCAAATGTAGTAAGTTATGGAGGTAAGGCAATAAATAGGCCATAGTGCAAAATAATTACAATTTAGTATTAACACTGGAGTGATAGATGTGCAGAAGATGATGTGCAAATAGAGATACTGGGGTGCAAATGAGCAAAATAAATAACAATGTAAATAACAATATGGGGATGTGGTAGTTGGGTGGGCTAATTACAGATGGGCTGTGTACAGGTGCAGTGATCAGTAAACTGCTCTGACAACTGATGCTTAAAGTTAGTGAGGGAGATAAGAGTTTGTTCCAGTCATTTGCAGCAGAGAACTGGAAGGAATGGCATCCAAAGGAGGTGTTGGCTTTGGGGATGACCAGTGAGATATACCTGCTGGAACGCATACTACGGGTGGGTGTTGCTATGGAGACCAATGAGCTATGATAAGGCGGGGATTTGCCTAGAAGTGATTTATAGATGACCTGGAGCCAGTGGGTTTGGCGACAAATATTTAGTGAGGGCCAGCCAACGAGAGCGTACAGATCACAATGGTGGGTAGTATATGGGGCTTTGGTGACAAAACGGATGGCACTGTGATAGACTACATCCAATTTGCTGAGTAGAGTGTTGGAAGCTATTTTGTAAATGACATCGCCGAAGTCAAGGATCGGTAGGATAGTCAGTTTTACGAGGGCATGTTCAGCAGCATGAGTGAAGGAGGCTTTGTTGCGAAATAGGAAGCCGATTCTAGATTTAACTTTGGATTGGAGATGCTTAATGTGAGTCTGGAAGGAGAGTTTACAGTCTAACCAGACACCTAGGTATTTGTAGTTGTCCACATATTCTAAGTCAGACCCGCCGAGAGTAGTGATTCTAGTCGGGCGGGCCGGTGCAAGCAGCGTTAGATTGAAGATAATGCATTTAGTTTTACTAGCGTTTAAGAGCAGTTGGAGGCTACGGACGGAGTGTTGTATGGCATTGAAGCTCGTTTGGAGGTTTGTTAACATAGTGTCCAATGAAGGGCCAGATGTATACGAAATGGTGTCGTCTGCGTAGAGGTGGATCTGAGAGTCACCAGCAGCAAGAGCGACATCATTGATATACACAGAGAAAAGAGTCGGCCTGAGAATTTAACCCTGTGGCACCCCCATAGAGACTGCCAGAGGTCCAGACAACAGGCCCTCCGATTTGATACATTAAACTCTATCTGAGAAGTAGTTGGTGAACCAGGTGAGGCAGTCATATGAGAAACCAAGGCTATTTAGTCTGCCAATAAGAATGCGGTGATTGACAGAGTCAAAAGCCTTGGCCAGGTCGATGAAGACGCTGCACAGTACATTCTTTTATCGATCGCAGTTATTATATCGTTTAGGACCTTGAGCGTTGGTGAGGTGCACCCATGACCAGCTCGGAAACCAGATTGCACAGCGGAGAAGGTACGGTGGGATTAGAAATGGTCGGTGATCTGTTTGTTAACTTGGCTTTCAAAAACTTTCGAAAGGCAGGGCAGGATGGATATAGGTCTGTAACAGTTTGGATCTAGAGTGTCACCCCCTTTGAAGAGGGGGATGACCTCAGCAGCTTTCTAGTCTCTGGGGATCTCAGACGATACGAAAGAGAGGCTGAACAGGCTAGTAATAGGGGTTGCGACAATTTCGGCAGCTAATTTTAGAAAGAAAGGGTCCAGATTGTCTAGCCCAGCTGATTTGTAGGGGTCCAGATTTTGCAGCTCTTTCAGGACATCCGCTATCTGAATTTGGGTGAAGGAGAAGTGGGGGGGGCATGGGCAAGTTGCAGCGGAGGGTGCAGAGCTGGTATCACTTGAGCCATTATGCAATAGGGCTTTATGTCTGTAATAAAGCCCTTTTGTGTGGAAAAACTTGTTCTGGTTGGCTGGGCCTGATGCCCTAGTGGGTGGGCCTGGCTCCCAAGTGGGTGGGTCTTGCTCCCCAGTGGGTGGGCCTATGCCCCCCCAGGTCCACCGATGGCTGTGCCCCTGCCCAGTCATGTGAAATCCATAAATTAGGGCTAAATTAATTTATTTCAATTGACTGATTTCCTTCCATTAACTGTAACTTAGTAAAATCTATGACATTTTTACATGTTGCGTTTATATTTTTGTTCAGTATAAATGAGCTCCCAATGCATTTCAATGGCAAAAAAAAAGGCCCATAGACTTGAATGGTAAAAATATTAAACATTCTAGACCTATCTAGAAACGTTTAAGCTATCAACTCTAAACCAACGTTGAGATATTGAGACTGAACCAACTTAGATCACTTGGATTCAGAATTTTTATAACATTTATACATTTTGAACTATAACCATTTTAAATGTTCATAAAAGCTCCATATGCTTGAATAGAACGTTTTTGAATTTGCCACTGCTCTTACACCGTTCAAGCTATTAACAGGAAACCAACGTTGACATGTTCAGACTGACCCAACTTAGATTGTATTTTTTTTTTACCGATTTTTTATATTATTTATACTTTAAAAACTATAACCATTTAAAATGTGCATAAATTAACATGAGTGAATGAGAGCCATACGTTTGCAGAGGTAGCAATTACAAATGGTCCTGCTCCTTGGCCAATTAAGCTACAAGACCAACTTTAAAACATCACATATCCTAAATTCATATTTTTTTTACTTTATCAACTATAACTACATACATTATTTTTTATTGCATAAAATAACTCACCAACATTAACTCCTGAACCGTTTAAGCTGACACCAAACAAACTTTTACATGTTCAATTTATCCTAACTTCAAATTCCTTAAAACTTGTATCAACTATAACTATAAACATTTGCATAAATTAGCATAAAATAACCCACCAACAGTAACTCTTGAACCAATTAAACTAGAGACAACAAACCACCTTTCACATTTTCAAGCTATCCTATCCTATCAATCAATCGATCCTTCACAAGCTAGCAAGCACACCACATTTTCCTCAGGAAATGTACTTGTCATGTTGTTTCAATGTATCAACACCTGTTTACCATTTTGCTTTAATAGAACATACTGTACATATAGGATTGATAGTTCTGAGTATTTGTGTATTTATTTTCTACTCTTCAACAGGTGATCCTTGACAGACGCAGTAGTGTCTTGATGCAGTATCAACATCAGAATGAGATGGATCGATATCTTATCCACCAATTTATTTGTGTTCATATTTGTAATGTGAAATTCGAATGTATGGATTAGAATTTTAAGATATTTTCCTTCTTTAAAAAGGGGGTGAATAGTTTGTGTCAACGCTTTTAACAATAAGTTATTGAAAGATGTATAATTATTTCCCAATGCAGATACCCCTACTCACTTGAAACAATGTCTTGAAACAATGTCCTCCTCAGAGGCTCTAGGTAAATTCAATTATCAACCAACATAAGTACAGAGTTGACTACAATGTCTCTCTGAATACGAGCATGTGCTTAATCCATATCACGTAATATAAACATTTTATGTAATATAAAAATGTGTTCTAAAGTCAGCCGTAACATACAGTTGGAGAATGCAATTGATTACAGTGCGCAACTTGAGATCCATGTTTGAGTGGAATCTGCTTGCAAATCTCCCATAGGTATGAATGCATGCTTTATGCAAAAGTCTGTGTTGCGCACTGACATCCTATGTCAGAATTTGGGCCATAATGGTTACTTATAGCTACTATTGAGACACTGTATGTTGTTTAGAAGTGACGAATCCTAACTTGAGCTACCAGCTTTTTCACATAAATCTCCCATTGACATCAATGCATTTATCCAGAACTTTGAGATACAACCTTTTCTCAAGTTAGGATTCAGTCCTAAGTTTAAAAAAGGTTCTTAAAAAGTTCCATTAGTTTTTTATTATTTACTTTAAGTGTCCATTTAGTCAGTCAGTCAAATTTCTAATTGCATCATTTCATTTGTATTTTTCATCACATCGTTTTTTTTTTCATTTTTAAGTTGTTTTGTTGGAGGCAGAAATTCAAGCTACTGTGAAGAATGGGTTCTGTCAAGTAATATGGGGCTAGTAATATACAGTGGGGAAAAAAAGTATTTAGTCAGCCAAAAATTGTGCAAGTTCTCCCACTTAAAAAGATGAGAGAGGCCTGTCATTTTCATCATAGGTACACGTCAACTATGACAGACAAAATGAGAAGAAAAAAAATCCAGAAAATCACATTGTAGGATTTTTAATGAATTTATTTGCAAATTATGGTGGAAAATAAGTATTTGGTCAATAACAAAAGTTCCTCAATACTTTGTTATATATCCTTTGTTGGCAATGACACAGGTCAAACGTTTTCTGTAAGTCTTCACAAGGTTTTCACACACGGTATTTTGACCCATTTCTCCATGCAGATCTCCTCTAGAGCAGTGATGATATGGGGCTGTCGCTGGGCAACACGGACTTTCAACTCCCTCCAAAGATTTTCTATGGGGTTGAGATCTGGAGACTGGCTAGGCCACTCCAGGACCTTGAAATGCTTCTTACGAAGCCACTCCTTCGTTGCCCGGGCGGTGTGTTTGGGATCATTGTCATGCTGAAAGACCCAGCCACGTTTCATCTTCAATGCCCTTGCTGATGGAAGGAGGTTTTCACTCAAAATCTCATTCATTCTTTCCTTTACACGGATCAGTCGTCCTGGTCCCTTTGCAGAAAAACAGCCCCAAAGCATGATGTTTCCTCCCCCATGCTTCACAGTAGGTATGGTGTTCTTTGGATGCAACTCAGCCTTCTTTGTCCTCCAAACACGACGAGTTGAGTTTTTACCAAAAAGTTCTATTTTGGTTTCATCTGACCATATGACATTCTCCCAATCCTCTTCTGGATCATCCAAATGCACTCTAGCAAACTTCAGACGGGCCTGGACATGTACTGGCTTAAGCAGGGGGACACGTCTGGTACTGCAGGATTTGAGTCCCTGGCGGCGTAGTGTGTTACTGATGGTAGGCTTTGTTATTTTGGTCCCAGCTCTCTGCAGGTCATTCACTAGGTCCCCCCGTGTGGTTCTGGGATTTTTGCTCACCGTTCTTGTGATCATTTTTCCCCCACGGGGTGAGATCTTGCGTGGAGCCCCAGATCGAGGGAGATTATCAGTGGTCTTGTATGTCTTCCATTTCCTAATAATTGCTCCCACAGTTGATTTCTTCAAACCAAGCTGCTTACCTATTGCAGATTCAGTCTTCCCAGCCTGGTGCAGGTCTACAATTTTGTTTCTGGTGTCCTTTGACAGCTCTTTGGTCTTGGCCATAGTGGAGTTTGGAGTGTGACTGTTTGAGGTTGTGGACAGGTGTCTTTTATACTGATAACAAGTTCAAACAGGTGCCATTAATACAGGTAACGAGTGGAGGACAGAGGAGCCTCTTAAAGAAGAAGTTACAGGTCTGTGAGAGCCAGAAATCTTGCTTGTTTGTAGGTGACCAAATACTTATTTTCCACCATAATTTGCAAATAAATTCATAAAAAATCCTACAATGTGATTTTCTGGATTTTTTTTCTTCTCATTTTGTCTGTCATAGTTGACGTGTACCTATGATGAAAATTACAGGCCTCTCTCATCTTTTTAAGTGGGAGAACTTGCACAATTGGTGGCTGACTAAATACTTGTTTTCCCCACTGTAAATACATTCGGCCAAAATTGGTTAATTTAGAAAGGTAGTTTATATGGGGCGGCAGGTAGCTTAGTGGTTAAGAATGTTGTGCCAGTAACCGAATTGTATGTGGTTCTAATCCCCGAGCCGACTAGGTGAAAAAAATCTGTCGATGTGCCCTTGAGCAAGGCACTTAACCCTAATTGCTCCTGTAAGTCGCTATGGATAAGAGCTTCTGCTAAATTACAATGTCATGAATGTCTGTGGAATGTGGTAGGCCAGAGTCAAGGGCAGGACACAGAATGAAATGAAAATCTACTTTACTGAATAGTAAAGAAACAAGCAAAACCTCCAAACAAAGGGAGGAGCAAACCCGCTTACAAACGACACTCGTAACAAGTAACAAACATGCACAACACACAGTGGGAGCAAACAGGTTAAATTGGGAATGACATAATACTATAATGGGAAACAGGTGCGCAACACTAGACAACAATCAGGTGAACATAGAAACATAAAACATAGATCGGCAGCAGCTAGAATTCCGGTGACGACGAACGCCGTAGCCTGCCCGAACCAGAAGGAAGGGCAGTCTCGGCAGAATCCGTGACAGACAAAAATGTAAATATTGAACATTTTATTAGATTATATTCCAGTTTACATGCAGAGTTGACTGAGTAATATAATTATATTGTATTGAATAATTAATGAATATGGTTTTCATATGAAGTGAAGTCAGTTCCATATTCCTTTTTCTTTTTAATTTAATTTGTTTCCAACACCCCCTACATTGTATTGAATTGCACCATTAGTGTATGCATCATTCATTGTATTAGGATATGAACTCTTTCAATAAATCATGCTTTATTGTGGTACAAATCGTTGTCTAGTTCTTTCTATTCTTAAATTTGACGAGCAGCTATAACTCATTCAAACACTTGATTTAGCACAAGTTTCTTTACTTGGATGTCAACACTCTTGTTGCATGCAGTTAAAAAAAAACAGCAAGTCATTATAATAATTGAAAGATTTTTTGTATTGAAATATATATATCTTGTCAAATGAATGCTGCATTTCACTTTTAAGGTAATGCAGACTCACATGCACAAACACGTAGTCACGCGTAGACTCCAATCAAGTTGTAGGAACATCTCAAGGATGATTAATGGAAACAGGATGCATCTGAGCTCAATTTCAAGTGTCATAGCAAAGGGTCTGAATACATTTGCAAAAATGTCTAAAAACGTCTTTTTGTTTTGTCATTATGGGGTACTGTATGTAGATTGATGAGGGAAAAAAGTAATTTAATCAATTTTAGAAGAAGGCTGTAACGTATGAAAATGTGGAAAAGGGGAAGGGGTCTGGCTATTTTCTGAATGCACTGTGTATATATATTATTGTAGTAACAAAATAATGTTTCGGGGGCAAATTAGTTATGGGGGCGGATATGGAAAGTCTATGTCAATATCAGATGCTTTTCTCCCAATAGGATATAGGTAAATATAGAATTATTGATTTTGTTTCCTGACACTTGTCCAAATGAATTATTGTCAGGTCTCAGAACACACCTCGCAACACATTCGGAAACGAACCAATTTGTATTTTATCCTTGCAGAGCTTCCGTTGAACATAACGAACCCTCTCCAGGACAAGGTAGCCCTTGAGAGGAGTCGTGCAATCATGGACTTCTCAGTTTCCAACCCTCGGTGTAGTATCCGCTGGTACAAAGGCAGCAATGTCATCCTGCCCTCAGAGCACTTTGAGATCTGCAGTGAGGGCTCTTATCGCAAGCTGGTCATTCAACAGGTGGCACTGGACGATGAGGGAACCTACAGTGTGCAGGTTGGAGAACACACATGCTCTGCGAAACTGACCGTAGAAGGTAAGAAAATCTATTAAAGTGACAGTTCACCAGAAAATCAAAGTTTGTCAGATATTTTACATGAAAATGTGCCTTTGGTCAAAATGAGGGCATGTCCCACTCCATTTATTGTGTTGATACAGCAACAGTATTTGGCTGAATTTCAAATGAATAGAAAAAGTAGGCACTAAATATTTTCCCAATTTTATTCAGTAACATAACAAGATCAGTAATATAAGGTAAGTTTTGCATCCCCCTGATGGTTAGGATTTGAGGAGAGTAGGCTAATCTTAGATCTGTCTAAGGGAAACTTCTACGAGGAGCGTAGAAGGATGAGTGTCCTGAATATAACAGCTCCATCTACTGGGAACATGGCAGTAAGACATTCCTATTCATTACACACTGCAGACTACAGCTCACTCAGTTCAGTATTTGATAGGATCATAGGTCAACTCTAGTACTGTGCAATTATAATGCAGTTACTAAAGTACTATCTAACATCATTGTATCAACATGTTGTTACTAGTGTACTTACAGTGTTACTCAGGTATGAAAGTAACGTGTTTTAAATCCAATTTAAGCATTGTTCCATGCACCTTATCTGCAATTAAGATGTGCAGGTGAGTAATTTGATTCTCATTTAATTAATCATAGAGTGATTAGAGTGTATAGTGTAATCATGTTTAAGGGTATACTTAGCAAGGTGACATCATCAAACACAACGGGGTAACCTCATACAACATGGACAACAACCTCAACAGACTTCAAAACAGACATTATTGGGGAAGGTGCAAATTGTGTATGGCAGTCGTTGTAGATCTGAATGTTGGTGACATTGTGGTCTGATGTTGTTTTATCATTGATGATGATGTCATCTTGTTGAGTGTACCTTTAAGGGGTCCCCCATTCTTCCCTCAATGTATTTATCTTTCTATTTGCAACACAGCCCAGTCTCTCCTGATGGTGAGGGAACTGAAGAGCGTGGCGGTGGTGGCCCCAGATGAGGCCTGCTTCGAGTGTGAGGTCTCGGTCCCCGTCCTCAAAGCCCCCGTGTGGAGCCTAATGGGGGAGGCCCTGCAGCAGGGGCCCAAGGTCAGCCTAGAGAAGATGGGCAATGTCCACCGACTCACCCTCCGACAGACCTCTGTCGACATGAACGGCCAAGAGCAGCGCCAAGCTCCACGTCAAGAGTAGGCGAACCCTTTTCCTTTTACATGTGATTTGGCATAAGAGCTGCACATGGCGAGAGAAGTGTGACATACTGTAAGCTATGTTTGGTGTTTATGTGCAGTTCTCTCCATGGGCATTGACATCTAGGTCAGACGAGATGGAATGTATATCCTGGTAGACTTCTAAGGCTATATTTACAGGCTGACAGTAGTAAAATACTTTTCGTTTTATAACATGGTCTATAAGTGAATAAGTGTTATGTTCATTCATCACATTAATGCGGTCAAAGTTTGCCGTGAGCGTAAAAAATTGTACATACAGAACCACTTTACACCTTGCATTGAAAAAATTTGCTTAAAGCTAATTTCTCCTAATGTATCACCTGAGCCATTATGCATTAGGGCTTTATGTCTGTAATAAAGCCCTATTGTGTGGAAAAACTTGTTCTGATTGGCTAGGCCTGATGCCCTAGTGGGTGGGCCTGGCTCCCCAGTGGGTGGGCCTATGCCCCCCCAGGTCCACCCATGGCTGTGCCCCTGCCCAGTCATGCGAAATCCATAAATATTTTTGTTCAGTATAAATGAGCTCCCAATGCATTTCAATTGCAAAAAAAGGCCCATAGACTTGAATGGTAAAAAAACAAAAAAAACATTCTAGACCTATCTAGAAACGTTTAAGCTATCAACTCCAAACCAACGTTGAGATATTGAGACTGACCAAATTTAGATAAATTGGATTCAGAATTTTGATTACATTTTACATTTTTGAACTATAACCATTTTAAATGTTCATAAAAGCTTGAATGGAAAGTATTTGAATTTGCCACTGCTCTTACACCGTTCAAGCTACCAACAACAAACCAACACTGACATGTTCAGATTGACCCAACTTAGATCGTTGTTGTTTTTAACCGATTTTTGATACTATTTATACTTTTTAAACTATAACCATTTAAAATGTGAATAAATTAACATGAGTTTGAATGAGAACCATAGGATTGCAGAGGTAGCTATTCAAAATGGTCCTGCTCCTTGGCCAATTAAGCTACAAGACCAACTTTAAAACATCTCATATCCTAAATTCAATTTATTTTTCACTTTATCAAATATACAGTGGGGAAAAAAAGTATTTAGTCAGCCACCAATTGTGCAAGTTCTCCCACTTAAAAAGATGAGAGAGGCCTGTAATTTTCATCATAGGTACACGTCAACTATGACAGACAAAATGAGAAGAAAAAAAATCCAGAAAATCACATTGTAGGATTTTTAATGAATTTATTTGCAAATTATGGTGGAAAATAAGTATTTGGTCAATAACAAAAGTTTCTCAATACTTTGTTATATACCCTTTGTTGGCAATGACACAGGTCAAACGTTTTCTGTAAGTCTTCACAAGGTTTTCACAAACTGTTGCTGGTATTTTGGCCCATTCCTCCATGCAGATCTCCTCTAGAGCAGTGATGTTTTGGGGCTGTCGCTGGGCAACACAGACTTTCAACTCCCTCCAAATATTTTCTATGGGGTTGAGATCTGGAGACTGGCTAGGCCACTCCAGGACCTTGAAATCCTTCTTACGAAGCCACTCCTTCGTTGCCCGGGCGGTGTGTTTGGGATCATTGTCATGCTGAAAGACCCAGCCACGTTTCATCTTCAATGCCCTTGCTGATGGAAGGAGGTTTTCACTCAAAATCTTACGATACATGGCCCCATTCATTCTTTCCTTTACACGGATCAGTCGTCCTGGTCCCTTTGCAGAAAAACAGCCCCAAAGCATGATGTTTCCACCCCCATGCTTCACAGTGGTGACTCTCAGATCCACCTCTACGCAGACGACACCATTTTGTATACATCTGGCCCTTCATTGGACACTGTGTTAACAAACCTTCAAACAAGCTTCAATGCCATACAACACTCCTTCAGTAGCCTCCAACTGCTCTTAAACACTAGTAAAACTAAATGCATGCTCTTCAACCGAACGCTGCTTGCACCCGCCCACCCGACTAGAATCACTACTCTCGACGGGTCTGACCTAGAGTATGTGGACAACTACAAATACCTAGGTGTCTGGTTAGACTGTAAACTCTCCTTCCAGACTCACATTAAGAATCTCCAATCCAAAGTTAAATCTAGAATCGGTTTCCTATTTCGCAACAAAGCCTCCTTCACTCATGCTGCCAAACATGCCCTCGTAAAACTGACTATCCTACCGATCCTTGACTTCGGCGATGTCATTTACAAAATAGCCTCCAACACTCTACTCAGCAAATTGGATGTAATCTATCACAGTGCCATCCGTTTTGTCTCCAAAGCCCCATATACTACCCACCACTGTGACCTGTACGCTCTTGTTGGCTGGTCCTCACTACATATTCGTCGCCAAACCCACTGGCTCCAGGCCATCTATAAATCACTGCTAGGCAAATCCCCGCCTTATCTTAGCTCATTGGTCACCATAGCAACACCCACCCGTAGTATGCGCTCCAGCAGGTATATCTCAGTGGTCATCCCCAAAGCCAACACCTCCTTTGGCCGCCATTCCTTCCAGTTCTCTGCTGCCAATGACTGGAACAAATTGCAAAAATCTCTGAAGCTGGAGACACTTATCTCCCTCACTAACTTTAAGCATCAGTTGTCAGAGCACCTTACCGATCACTGCACCTGTACACAGCCCATCTGAAATTAGCCCGCCCAACTACCTCATCCCTATATTGTTATTTATTTTGCTCATTTGTACCCCAGTATCTCTATTTGCACATCATTTCTTGAACATCTAGCATTCCAGTGTTAATACTAATTGTAATTATTTTGCACTATAGCCTATTTATTGCCTTACCTCCATAACTTGCTACATTTGCACACACTGTATATATATTTTTTCTGTTGTATTTTTTACTTTGTTTTGTTTTACCCCATATGTAACTCTGTGTTGTTGTTTTTATCACACTGCTTTGCTTTATCTTGGCCAGGTCGCAGTTGTAAATGAGAACTTGTTCTCAACTGGCTTACCTGGTTAAATAAAGGTTAAATAAAAAATAAAAATAGTAGGTATGGTGTTCTTTGGATGAAACTCAGCATTCTTTGTACTCCAAACACGACGAGTTGAGTTTTTACCAAAAAGTTATATTTTGGTTTCATCTGACCATATGACATTCTCCCAATCCTCTTCTGGATCATCCAAATGCACTCTAGCAAACTTCAGACGGGCCTGGACATGTACTGGCTTAAGCAGGGGGACACGTCTGGCACTGCAGGATTTGAGTCCCTGGCGGCATAGTGTGTTACTGATGGTAGGCTTTGTTACTTTGGTCCCAGCTCTCTGCAGGTCATTCACTAGGTCCCCCCGTGTGGTTCTGGGATTTTTGCTCACCGTTCATGTGATCATTTTGACCCCACGGGGTGAGATCTTGCGTGGAGCCCCAGATCGAGGGAGATTATCAGTATGTCTTCCATTTCCTAATAATTGCTCCCACAGTTGATTTCTTCAAACCAAGCTGCTTACCTATTGCAGATTCAGTCTTCCCAACCTGGTGCAGGTCTACAATTTTGTTTCTGGTGTCCTTTGACAGCTCTTTGGTCTTGGCCATAGTGGAGTTTGGAGTGTGACTGTTTGAGGTTGTGGACAGGTGTCTTTTATACTGATAACAAGTTCAAACAGGTGCCATTAATACAGGTAACGAGTGGAGGACAGAAGAGCCTCTTAAAGAAGAAGTTACAGGTCTGTGAGAGCCAGAAATCTTGCTTGTTTGTAGGTGACCAAATACTTATTTTCCACCATAATTTGCAAATAAATTCATTAAAAATCCTACAATGTGATTTTCTGGAATTTTTTTTCTCAATTTGTCTGTCATAGTTGACGTGTACCTATGATGAAAATTACAGGCCTCTTTCATCTTTTTAAGTGGGAGAACTTGCACAATTGGTGGCTGACTAAATACTTTTTTCCCCCACTGTAACTATATACATTTTTTTTTAAATTGCATAAAATAACTCACAAACAGTAACTCTTTAACCATTTAAGCTAAAGACACCAAACAAACTTTCACATGTTCAGGCTATCCTAACTTCAAATTCCTTAAAACCTGTATCAACTATAAACATTTGCATAAATTAGCATTAAATAACCCACCAACAGTAATTCTTGAACCAATTAAGCTAGAGACAACAAACCACCTTTCACATGTTCAGGCTATCCTATCCTATCAATCAATTGATCCTTCACAAGCTAGCAAGCACACCACATTTTCCTCGGGAAATGTACTTGTCATGTTGTTTCATGTAAACTCTTTCACTCTATATAGTATGAATCAACACTATGGAGTGCCAACATAAATTTAGTTTAAATTTCAAATAATGAAATACAAATGCAGTTTATGCATTCAGTAATTATATGTGTGAAATCTGTGAATTTGTAAATTCAAATTATATTCATATTTACACTAATATCATCATACAAAAAATTGAATTTGGAATGCATGAATTAAGACAGACAATCTTGTCTTATTGCGGACACCAGTTTACCATTTTGCTTGAATAGAACATACTGTACATATAGGATTGATAGTTCTGAGTATTTGTGTATTTATTTTCTACTCTTCAACAGGTGATCCTTGACAGACGCAGTAGCGTCTTGATGCAGTATCAACATCAGAATGAGATGGATCAATATCTTATCCACCAATTTATTTGTGTTCATATTTGTAATGTGAAATTCGAATGTATGGATTAGAATTTAAATATATTTTCCTGTCTTTAAAAAGGGAGTGAATAGTTTGTGTCAACGCTTTTAACAATAAGTTATTAAAATATTTTGTATAATTATTTCCCAATGCAGATACCCCTACTCACTTGAAACAATGTCTTGAAACAATGTCCTCTTCAGCGGTGTAGTATCCGCTGGTACAAAGGCAGCAATGTCATCCTGCCCTCAGAGCACTTTGAGATCTGCAGTGAGGGCTGCTATCGCAAGCTGGTCATTCAACAGGTGGCACTGGACGATGAGGGAACCTACAGTGTGCAGGTTGGAGAACACACATGCTCTGCGAAACTGACCGTAGAAGGTAAGAACATCTATTAAAGTGACAGTTCACCACAAAATCAAAGTTTGTCAGATATTTTACATGAAAATTTGCCTTTTGTCAAAATGAGGGCATGTCCCACTCCATTTATTGTGTTGATACAGCCACAGTATTTGGCTGAATTTCAAATGAATAGAAAAAGTAGGCACTAAATATTTTCCCAATTTTATTCAGTAACATAACAAGATCAGTAATATAAGGTAAGTTTTGCATCCCCCTGATGGTTAGGATTTGGGGAGAGTAGGATAATCTTAGATCTGTCTAAGGGAAACTTCTACCAGGAGCGTAGAAGGATGAGTGTCCTGAATATAACAGCTCCATCTACTGGGAACATGGCAGTAAGACATTCCTATTCATTACACACTGCAGACTACAGCTCACTCAGTTCAGTATTTGATAGGATCATAGGTCAACTCTAGTACTGTGCAATTATAATGCAGTTACTAAAGTACTATCTAACATCATTGTATCAACATGTTGTTACTAGTGTACTTACAGTGTTACTCAGGTATGAAAGTAACGTGTTTTAAATCCAATTTAAGCATTGTTCCATGCACCTTATCTGCAATTAAGATGTGCAGGTGAGTAATTTGATTCTCATTTAATTAATCATAGAGTGATTAGAGTGTGTAGTGTAATCATGTTTAAGGGTATACTTAGCAAGGTGACATCATCAAACACAACGGGGTAACCTCATACAACATGGACAACAACCTCAACAGACTTCAAAACAGACATTATTGGGGAAGGTGCAAATTGTGTATGGCAGTCGTTGTAGATCTGAATGTTGGTGACATTGTGGTCTGATGTTGTTTTATCATTGATGATGATGTCATCTTGATGAGTGTACCTTTAAGGCGTCCCCCATTCTTCCCTCAATGTATTTATCTTTCTATTTGCAACACAGCCCAGTCTCTCCTGATGGTGAGGGAACTGAAGAGCGTGGCGGTGGTGGCCCCAGATGAGGCCTGCTTCGAGTGTGAGGTCTCGGTCCCCATCCTCAAAGCCCCCGTGTGGAGCCTAAAGGGGGAGGCCCTGCAGCAGGGGCCCAAGGTCAGCCTAGAGAAGATGGGCAATGTCCACCGACTCACCCTCCGACAGACCTCTGTCGACATGAACGGCTTGGTGGAGTTCACGTCGGGAAAAGCCAAGAGCAGCGCCAAGCTCCACGTCAAGAGTAGGCGAACCCTTTTCCTTTTACATGTGATTTGGCATAACAGCTGCACATGGCGAGAGAAGTGTGACATACTGTAAGCTATGTTTGGTGTTTATGTGCAGTTCTCTCCATGGGCATTGACATCTAGGACAGACGAGATGGAATGTATATCCTGGTAGACTTCTAAGGCTATATTTACAGGCTGACAGTAGTAAAATACTTTTCGTTTTATAACATGGTCTATAAGTGAATAAGTATTATGTTCATTCATCACATTAATGCGGTCAAAGTTTGCCGTGAGCGTAAAAAATTGTACATACAGAACCACTTTACACCTTGCATTGAAAAAATTTGCTAAAAGCTAATTTCTCCTAATGTATCACCTGAGCCATTATGCATTAGGGCTTTATGTCTGTAATAAAGCCCTATTGTGTGGAAAAACTTGTTCTGATTGGCTGGGCCTGATGCCCTAGTGGGTGGGCCTGGCTCCCCAGTGGGTGGGCCTATGCCCCCCCAGGTCCACCCATGGCTGTGCCCCTGCCCAGTCATGCGAAATCCATAAATATGATTGTTTAGTATAAATGAGCTCCCAATGCATTTCAATTGCAAAAAAAGGCACATAGACTTGAATGGTAAAAAAACAAAAAAAACATTCTAGACCTATCTAGAAACGTTTAAGCTATCAACTCCAAACCAACGTTGAGATATTGAGACTGACCAAATTTAGATAAATTGGATTCAGAATTTTGATTACATTTTACATTTTTGAACTATAACCATTTTAAATGTTCATAAAAGCTTGAATGGAAAGTATTTGAATTCGCCACTGCTCTTACATCGTTCAAGCTACCAACAACAAACCAACACTGACATGTTCAGATTGACCCAACTTAGATCATTGTTGTTTTTAACCGATTTTTGATACTATTTATACTTTTTAAACTATAACCATTTAAAATGTGAATAAATTAACATGAGTTTGAATGAGAACCACAGGATTGCAGAGGTAGCTATTCAAAATGGTCCTGCTCCTTGGCCAATTAAGCTACAAGACCAACTTTAAAACGTCACATATCCTAAATTCAATTTCTTTTTCACTTTATCAAATATACAGTGGGGGAAAAAAGTATTTAGTCAGCCACCAATTGTGCAAGTTCTCCCACTTAAAAAGATGAGAGAGGCCTGTAATTTTCATCATAGGTACACGTTAACTATGACAGACAAAATTAGAAAAAAAATCTAAAAAATCACATTGTAGGATTTTTAATGAATTTATTTGCAAATTATGGTGGAAAATAAGTATTTGGTCAATAACAAAAGTTTCTCAATACTTTGTTATATACCCTTTGTTGGCAATGACACAGGTCAAACGTTTTCTGTAAGTCTTCACAAGGTTTTCACACACTGTTGCTGGTATTTTGGCCCATTCCTCCATGCAGATCTCCTCTAGAGCAGTGATGTTTTGGGGCTGTCGCTGGGCAACACGGACTTTCAACTCCCTCCAAAGATTTTCTATGGGGTTGAGATCTGGAGACTGGCTAGGCCACTCCAGGACCTTGAAATGCTTCTTACGAAGCCACTCCTTCGTTGCCCGGGTGGTGTGTTTGGGATCATTGTCATGCTGAAAGACCCAGCCACGTTTCATCTTCAATGCCCTTGCTGATGGAAGGAGGTTTTCACTCAAAATCTCACGATACATGGCCCCATTCATTCTTTCCTTTACACGGATCAGTCGTCCTGGTCCCTTTGCAGAAAAACAGCCCCAAAGCATGATGTTTCCACCCCCATGCTTCACAGTAGGTATGGTGTTCTTTGGATGCAACTCAGCATTCTTTGTCCTCCATACACGACGAGTTGAGTTTTTACCAAAAAGTTATATTTTGGTTTCGTCTGACCATATGACATTCTCCCAATCCTTTTCTGGATCATCCAAATGCACTCTAGCAAACTTCAGACGGGCCTGGACATGTACTGGCTTAAGCAGGGGGACACGTCTGGCACTGCAGGATTTGAGTCCCTGGCGGCATAGTGTGTTACTGATGGTAGGCTTTGTTACTTTGGTCCCAGCTCTCTGCAGGTCATTCACTAGGTCCCCCCGTGTGGTTCTGGGATTTTTGCTCACCGTTCTTGTGATCATTTTGACCCCACGGGGTGAGATCTTGCGTGGAGCCCCAGATCGAGGGAGATTATCAGTGGTCTTGTATGTCTTCCATTTCCTAATAATTGCTCCCACAGTTGATTTCTTCAAACCAAGCTGCTTACATATTGCAGATTCAGTCTTCCCAGCCTGGTGCAGGTCTACAATTTTGTTTCTGGTGTCCTTTGACAGCTCTTTGGTCTTGGCCATAGTGGAGTTTGGAGTGTGACTGTTTGAGGTTGTGGACAGGTGTCTTTTATACTGATAACAAGTTCAAACAGGTGCCATTAATACAGGTAACGAGTGGAGGACAGAGGAGCCTCTTAAAGAAGAAGTTACAGGTCTGTGAGAGCCAGATATCTTGCTTGTTTGTAGGTGACCAAATACTTATTTTCCACCATAATTTGCAAATAAATTCATTAAAAATCCTACAATGTGATTTTTTAGATTTTTTTTCTAATTTTGTCTGTCATAGTTAACGTGTACCTATGATGAAAATTACAGGCCTCTCTCATCTTTTTAAGTGGGAGAACTTGCACAATTGGTGGCTGACTAAATACTTTTTTCCCCCACTGTAACTATATACATTTTTTTTTAAATTGTCTTTATTATCATTCAAATGTCTTTATTATCATTACTTATAATTGCATAATTTCATTTGTATTTTTCATCATGTGTCCATTGTATAGACATTGTTTTTTACATTTTTAAGTTGTTTTGTTGGAGGCATAAATTCAAGCTACTGTGAAGAACGGGTTCTGTCAAGTAATATGGGGCTTGTAATATACAGTGAGGGAAAAAAGTATTTGATCCCCTGCTGATTTTGTACGTTTGCCCACTGACAAAGACATGATCAGTCTATAATTTTAATGGTAGGTTTATTTAAACAGTGAGAGACAGAATAACAACAAAAAAATCCAGAAAAACGCGTGTCAAAAATGTTAGAAATTGATTTGCATTTTAATGAGGGAAATAAGTATTTGACCCCTCTGCAAAACATTACTTAGTACTTGGTGGCAAAACCCTTGTTGGCAATCACAGAGGTCAGATGTTTATTGTAGTTGGTCACCAGGTTTCCACACATCTCAGGAGGGATTTTGTTCCACTCCTCTTTGCAGATCTTCTCCAAGTCATAAAGGTTTCGAGGCTGACGTTTGGCAACTCGAACCTTCAGCTCCCTCCACAGATTTTCTATGTGATTAAGGTCTGGAGACTGGCTAGGCCACTCCAGGACCTTAATGTGCTTCTTCTTGAGCCACTCCTTTGTTGCCTTGGCCGTGTGTTTTGGGTCATTGTCATGCTGGAATACCCATCCACGACCCATTTTCAATGCCCTGGCTGAGGGAAGGAGGTTCTCACCCAAGATTTGACGGTACATGGCCCCGTCCATTGTCCCTTTGATGCGGTGAAGTTGTCCTGTCCCCTTAGCAGAAAAACACCCCCAAAGCATAATGTTTCCACCTCCATGTTTGACGGTGGGGATGGTGTTCTTGGGGTCATAGGCAGCATTCCTCCTCCTCCAAACACGGTGAGTTGAGTTGATGTCAAAGAGCTCCATTTTGGTCTCATCTGACCACAACACTTTCACCCAGTTCTCCTCTGAATCATTCATATGTTCATTGGCAAACTTCAGACGGGCATGTATATGTGCTTTCTTGAGCAGGGGGACCTTGCGGGAGCTGCAGGATTTCAGTCCTTCACGGCATAGTGTGTTACCTATTGTTTTCTTGGTGACTATGGTCCCAGCTGCCTTGAGATCATTGACAAGATCCTCCCGTGTAGTTCTGGGCTGATTCCTCACTGTTCTCATGATCATTGCAACACAACGAGGTGAGATCTTGCATGGAGCCCCAGGCCAATGAAGATTGACAGTTATTTTGTGTTTCTTCCATTTGCAAATAATCGCACCAACTATTGTCCCCTTCTCACCAAGCTGCTTGGCGATGGTGTTGTAGCCCATTCCAGCCTTATGTAGGTCTACAATCTTGTCCCTGACATCCTTGGAGAGCTCTTTGGTCTTGGCCATGGTGGAGAGTTTGGAATCTGATTGATTGATTGCTTTTGTGGATAGGTGTCTTTTATACAGGTAACAAGCTGAGATTAGGAGCGCTCCCTTTAAGAGTGTGCTCCTAATCTCAGCTCGTTACCTGTTTAAAAGGCACCTGGGAGCCAGAAATCTTTCTGATTGAGAGGGGGTCAAATACTTATTTCCCTCATTAAAATGCAAATCAATTTATAACATTTTTGACATGCGTCAATTGTTTTGGGATTTTTTTGTTGTTATTCTGTCTCTCACTGTTCAAATAAACCTACATTAAAATGATAGACTGATAATTTCTTTGTCAGTGGGCAAACGTAAAATATCAGCAGGGGATCAAATACTTTTTTCCCTCACTGTACATTAGAGTGTCTAGTTTAAGAAACAGGTGCCTCACAGGTCCTCAACTGGCAGCTTCATTAAATAGTACCCGCAAAACACCAGTCTCTACGTCAACAGTGAAGAGGTGACTCCGGGATGCTGACCTTCTAGGCAGAGTTGCCAAAAAAAATGCCATATCTCAGACTGGCCAAAAAAAAATAAAAGACTAAAAGATTAAGATGGGCAAAAGAACACAGACACTGGACTTTTTCTTTGCAACTCTGCTTAGAAGGTCAGCATCCCGGAGTCGCCGCTTCACTGTTGACATTGAGACTGGTGTTTTACGGGTACTATTTAATGAAGCTGCCAGTTGAGGACCTGTGAGGCGTCTTTTCTCAAACTAGACACTCAAATGCATTTGTCCTCTTGCTCAGTTGTGCACCGGGGCCTCCCACTCCTCTTTCTATTCTGGTTAGAGCCAGTTTGTGCTGTTCTGTGAAGGGAGTAGTACACAGCATTGTACAAGATCTTCAGTTTCTTGGCAAGTTCTCGCATGGACTAGCCTTCATTTCTCAGAACAAGAATAGACTGATGAGTTTCAGAAGAAAGTTATTTGTTTCTGGCCATTTTGAGCCTGTAATCAAACCCA